TTGATTATTTTCTAACTCGGGCTAGAATAAGTGGTGTACATCCAAGCTTAACACTAAATCAAATGTATTTACCGCAAACAGGCACTATCCTTAGGTAAAATTACAGGATTTGATGTAATTTGAACCCACTTCGGCCGTGCATTTTGACGCCATTGTCCTTTCCACTTCTTTCCTACTAGCCAAAGCCTCCTACCACCTTATTCTCTACCACTTCTTATCCAACTTGTCAGGATCCCAGCTCCCAGCCGACAGCCTTGGTATCTCAGTGCCAAGGAGCCTTGGGACAATCCAGGCAGCAATTCTGCAGCCTATTTATGTAATCCAAAGGTCACCTAGGCAACTCAGACCGCCAACTGACTAACTAGGCCAATAGATTACAACGAGAACTGGAACATACGACTCCGCTGTAGTCTTCAGTCCATTTAGGGACTACATTCCTCCTGCTAGCGTTATGTTTCCATCATCACATCTTCAGCCTTATCAGTGTGCGTACGATGCGGCGCGAAAAGAGAGGAAGGACGAAATCTCGGGAGTAAACCTCAGTCCCGGAAACAACATGGATCAAGATGAGTGCATGGAATACAGTACTCGAACATGATGCCATTTCGTATTCTTGTCCAGAATCTTTTGGCAAACATTCACTCAAGTCAAGGCCTCTTGGACGGAATTCGTGGGTTCAGTCATTTAAAAATCAACCAAAATATGGGACAGGGAAGGATCAAATGTGTGGGCTGGTAGAGATCAGGATCAATAGGGATTTTACTGTGCCAATAGCCACAGAGAAATGATCCGGTAGGATGGGACGGGTTATATGTTGATCTATGTACCCAGTATGTACGTACACACCCCTCATCTCGCTCCGCATCGCGGGGCTTTGGGGAAAACTGCATGTTTTGCATTACGCACCACCTACGTTAGTCCGGTGGGCCTCGAGGCGGTTAGTGATTGAAATTCACATCGGGGCTCATTAAAGCTAGAACCGCTGCAACCCACGACCCTTCATGGCAATTTTTCCCACACCTTGATCCCTCTTTCCCGCCACAACCGAGGCAATGAGCTCTCCTTTGACTGAATGATGCTGCACAGGCGGGGCCCCGGACTTGCCTGCAAAACCAGCCGTCAAACCGTGGCCAGAAACCCTAGTGACACCCCTCAGGTCTTAACTTCGTTCTTTCGCAGCTGCCAGTACCACTCCAGCATGGCCATTTTCAGAGCGGTCTTACTAGCCAGGTAAACCCGATCTGAATGGAGGTAGAAATCAAGATTCCACAGGAACTATAGGTTTCAAGGATATATCGAATGGAGGATAAATTAGAAGGGCCTCATAGACACACGTATCTAGGTATGATAGTCCGCTCAATTCGCTCCAATATGGACAAGGGCGCGAGATATTTGCCTGGAGGAGCTCACCGCGCAAGTTTTCAAGGAAACAAGAGCTGGCTAGAAGATTGCGTGTGGCGGTTTTCGTGCCAACGGAGTGGGAGCAGGCCAAAACGTTGGAGGTTCTCTATGCACTGACGAACCTACACTGTTGGTCAGTACGGTATGTTTTTTTTTATTCAAATTTTTGACAACGGGTTCTGACGTAGGGGAAACTATTGGATCGCGCTGCTGTGGCACGATTCATTTGTCCATGAAATTGCCCTACTCACCTGTCTTGCTAGATGGATTCACTCTCCTTAGCTAGCTTCTCTCTCTCATAGACAGTCTGTCCAACGAACTTCATGATACTGGTTCTTGGTGCCTGCTGCAAGGTCTCAGCTAGATGACTCTTATACAACACTTTGTCCAGCCACGGAATTTGCATCATCTGCAATGGTCATCAGCATCTGGCCTTGTTACTGGAAAGGAGAAACCCGTACCAGGCAGCCTGTATCATGAAATGAAAGATGTCACTGAGAATTCCCTAACATTCTCACCCGTTCTAAAGACGAAAATCTTTTCAAAAATGTCGTTGATCCCATGACATAAAAAGTGAAAAAAATTAGAGCCACTCGCTCAAATCAAAGACCTCACCGTCCGTTTAGAAACACCGATCCTGTTGTTCAGTGATTACATGGAGCACTTCGTCGACCAAGCATTCAATAGTTGCTGCATTTGAAAAGAAGAAAAGCTGGGCGACGGAATTTTTCAGCTTCATGTGGAGTTCACCGTCTAGTGCCGTAAATATATTAGGGAAAGCACCCCCGGTCTTGGTGTAGGGGCGGAGAGGAGCATATAGATCACTTTTCAGAGCAGAGTTGAGCAGGAAGATTAGCTTCCATATAGACATCGAATGGACTATAGAAATTTATTGAATATGCCTGAACAAACCCCTCTCTCATATGGTAAATGGTTGGAATCGCCCCCTGGTCAATAATCAACACCATATCTGGCCCCATTCTCTCCACCTCTCCGTATCGCTGGTGGGCCTACTTTGTTTTGACCCATGTCATTCGCGTAAAATTGCTCACTTCGCGTAAATGGATTTACAGGGTCTTGTACAGGGAAAATCATGTTCCATCAGCATTGAGTGTAACAAATATTTTACTTACGTTTGTTCATTATATCCGTATAGCTTATGAATGTAGTTAAGTTGACTACGGTTATCGATCTATCTAAGTGTCATCTTGTAGACTGTTTATAGACCGGAGTCCGGTAATGCCCCACTAGATATCTGTGTCAATCTTGTTGCCATCCTTGCCTATAGGTATTGAGGCCAAAGAACTAACAAGTAACATTCAATTTGTAGTCATTCCTAAAATATCCCACCTATAAAGTCATCTACGCCGCTGATTATACCGCTGCCCCAAACCACTTCTACACGTCCAAAACGCCTCTCTCCAACCCTCTTTTAAAGCACCCTCTCCGAAATACACACTCGATTTAGGGCCTTTCTCAACTCCATTCTCCCTCACTACCTTCACTTTTCAGTGTACACAGATCAGCTATGTGGCATGTGAGCCAGATTCAGAATCATCTTCGACTTGGGGAGTCGCTGATTAAGGCAATTGAATCTTCGACTACGTGAATTAATTCGTGGAGAAGAAAGGAAAGGAGATTCTTGACACACTTTTCAATGGTACAACAGACAGCTTGAAGCTCCCAACTTAGCCTCTTCGTAGATAAAAATGAAAACAAAGGTCTCTCACGCCTGGGTTACCGTGGCTATGATTCAGCTGGACTTGCAATCGACGGCGACAAGAAGAAAAAGATTTTCATCTACAAGGAAGTCGGTAAAGTCACAAGGCTCTTCATCCTGATCTCACCAAGGTCTTCGAATCGCACGCCGGTATTGCACACACTCGTCGGGCGACCACGGCTCCTCATCCGGTACAAACTGCCACCCCCACAGGTATGCATCCAACAGCATTGCGGATCTCTAGTGTAAAACTATAAAATTGATGCCATTAACCTAGGTCCAATCTGAAGTCGGAGTTTGTCATTGTTCACAATGGCATCGCCACAAATTTCAAGATGATATTGCTCAAATTAACGATGGTCAGCTTAATGTTCACCGTATAGATGAGGAAGTTGGTACCTCGAATGTCCGTGTTAGTCAAACCATCGAGCTTGAACTACAAGAGATGATGAAGGGTAACTTCAACTAATTTATGCAAAAAGAGAATTTTGAACAACCAGAATCCGTCATCAATGCGATGCGTGGTCACCTTAACACTGAGAATAGGGCCGTGACACTTGGTGGTTTGAGTCAACCACTCCTATATCGTGGTCCGCGGTATCTTCGAGGAGTCAACGAAGATCCAGGATGCTGTCGAACTAGCTTCAGAGTTTTTAGATAGACGAGCTCCTGTCTTCCGTGAGGATGTATGTGTTTTTGTCTCTCAGTCTGGTGAAACTGCGGACTCTCTTATGGATCTATGCTTACTGCCTTGGGCGCAGTGCTATGACCGTGGGTGTCATTAACGTTGTAGGATCCTCAATCTCCATCTTGACACACTACGGTGTCCATATCAATGCCGGTCTGGAGATCTGTGTCGCATCAACCAAGGCCTATACTTCCAAAATGGTCTGCTTGGTCATGTTTGCCTTGGTACTAAGTGAAGACCGCTCGTAAGGACCAGCGCCGTATCGATATTATGGAGAGCCATGCCAACATCTCCGAGCAGATCAAGGAGGTCCCGAAGCCCTCAAGATCAAGGAAATCTCCTACCTCTACTGTGAAGCCGTCATTTCCGGTGAGCTCAAGCACGGATAAAACTGAGGTCCCACGTACCGTTGATGCTCTTCAGGGTCTGTTCAATGTGATTTACTTGCAGTTCATGGCCTATTGGCTTGCTGTGGCCGAGGGGCTGAACGTTGACTTCCCAAGAAACTTGGCCAAGTCTGTCACTATCGAGTAGAGCGGTGGATCAGCCTATGAAAAGGCTTGTGAAAAATGACATTTAGTATAAGAGTACAGTTCGATCCATTGTGGTCCATGGAAGCTCGTGTCATTTTTGTCTCATCCACTGGGATTAACGTTGTATTTCAAGTGATGTCGACTTTCCTGGTGACTCTTGAACTGAAATGCACCTTAGATGAATCCGACTACTAGTCATGTCAACTATGAATCAAATCGCCCAAACCACTAGATCCTTCCAATTCTTTCTATGCAATGAAAGTTGTAGGAGTAAAGAGAAATTTTCAAATGAGGTGATAAATTCCGCTGAGCTAGGGAGCATCAACCTACGCTTGGAACAGGGTTGTCATTGTTGAGCTAGTTTCAGTTGAGGTTAGACTGGTAACCCCGAACGTAGATATTGGCTTCAGAGTGCGACTGGAAATATACCCCACTCGCTCATCCTTTGCCGATGTCCCTTAATCGCCTCCTGTAACATCCATAAATTATTCTGGAGGAACGAAGAAACGTAGGTAGAATTAATGCATTAAGAAATATCCAGTCTTCTGTCCAGTGTCATTTTAAAATGATATTGCGTTGGGCTAAATATTGGACTGTGTTGTGTGATTGGAAAGCTAGATACACGATTTTTGAGGTCTCTCGCACCGAGACAGGCAAGCTAGACTATGTCCTCCTGATTCAAATGCTCATTGAACCACTCAACTCCTTGCACAAAAGCACTTCGCTTCGCATATCTTACAGCTTGGATTGCTGGATCGCCACGCACCGCAAAGCCATGCTCCACACCGCTATAGAGGTTGATCTGATAAGGAAGACTCAACTCCCTCAAGATACCTTCTGATACATGGCGTTTTTCAACAGAGAAAATTCCGTCAGTTTCTGCTGCAGCAATAGCCAGTGGGCCTTGGATGGCCTTGAGCTCGGCTTCTTCAATGTGGGATGGATGTGCTGTATAGCCCACGTCTATTTTTCCCGGGTGCAGGTGCCGCACAACATACTTGCCACCGAAGCAATATCCCACAGCACCAATTCTCTAGTCCCTGATCAATGGTGATTTGACTTTGTTTGATTCGGGACATACTTACTTTGCAGTCAAATTGGGTCCTCATTTCCCTTAGGCAGGACTCCACAATTGGATCAACGGTTGAGGGGAGATGATTCTTTCCTTCCGGGTGATACCCCCCGGTTCTCCACTTCTCCATATCGAATTCCCCCGGCTTGTTCAAAGGCACAGCATCACCGTAAAAAAGATCAGGCATAAGAACAAAGTAGCCATTTGTGGCAAACTGATCCGCGATGAGTTGAGCGTTTGTCAAATGATGGCCGATAATATCCGTGAGTCTACCAAAGGTGAGAATTTTGAACTTCCAGGGGGGGAATTGCTAGGGACTTACATCAAAATCCCATTTTCCGACTTGGAAGGAGGATGACTGATATAGACTTCGAAGTCACCCAGCATCGACAATGCGCCTTGTGGCCGTCCGTCATGTTTGAATCCTTGGTAGCAGCAAGATTGAGGCGGGTGGGACGCCATTCCAGAAGAATGAAAGTAGGGTGCCCTAGTCTTGGAAAGTTCAGATTATCGGGAAACTACCACGTCTAATGACACCAGGGACACGAACCCGAAGTAGATCAAATTTAAGCGAGATCGTCCAGTCTTTATGCATACGACGTGTCTAGGTAGAGCCTAAGTGCAAGCTCTCCACTCCGAGGGCCGAGCGTGAATGAGACAATTTGGCAAACTCAAAAAGCAGCCGCGAAAAGCAAGCCCTCTACGTAGTAACCAGACAATATCTGGAAATAACAAGAACTCCAGAGAAATTCGATCCGTACATGACCACATATCTGGCGTTAGACGGGACTGGACCCAGAAGGCTTTTGACAGATCTCTATGCCGTACAACTTATCCGGGAAATCCCACTTCAGAAAATTAATCCGAGTAGAGTAATCTCTACAGTTTACTCTGAATTTATCACTCGATCTAGCAACCCAATAAAGAAGAAGCCATGGTGACACGACCAAAGATTGAATTTAAACTGGCATTTCGGGCACCATATGGCAGCAAAAAAAGATTGACGAGCCTAGCCCGTGTGGGGATGTTGTGGACGTGTACGGAGCAATTTTTGCCAACATCCGAATTTGCAGGGATAAAAGGACCTTTTTTGGTACATAGATCTACAGGGCACGTATGGATGACCGAAGGAGATATGGGTTTACTAACCCGAGAAAACAAATCAATTATTCCGTACAAACATCGATAACACTGTGCACTATATCCACTCAAGAGCCGTTGTCCCGAGAAGGCTGGCGGAAGCTCTCGGATCCGGACTTAGAGCTCCCCACCGTTGACCTCGGGAATAACTTTTGGATCGGAGCTCACTACTAATTTTGGTATCAGAGGCCGATGTCAAGTCAACCTTGGAAACAAGCCTCTTTACCAATCCATCGAACTACAAAGGTAAAAGTGTCCACCCAACACATATTGCCATTAGGCTTTGATTCATTAGCCTAACTGTCTAGGTTGATTTTGTACCAGAAACCTCTTCATAATCTTAACCCAAGGTGCAGAGAAAGCTGAGCCTGCGTAGGCTACGGAGCCTACAATGGCGGAAAATCTCCCTCACCACAATTCTTTTATGGGTTACCATGAGTAAGTGATGTCAGAAACGCATCATCTTTTTCTTTTGTTTAGTCACTGACTATCTTTAAAAATCTTTTGGTCCACTGACACAAGTTTAATCGAAAGATCTTCCTGTAAAAAGAGTTTCCTATCCAACCATTTTGCTAGATACTCGCCCGCCATCCCGCGCACCGCAAAGGAACTTGGCACTGGTGAACTTACGGCCACACCTTAATATACGTATCTTGTTATTCGGCTTCATGCTGGGACACATCCTTTGGGCACCATTGTCTGAACTTTGTGAGCGGGAAAATATTGGACGCTTGCCACATAGAGCCTGACTTTTCAGTATATTCCTAATCTTTAGCTGTTTTGGCGATTTCATCGCTTTGGTTATCATGTGCAAGTCCAATACTAGCAACTTGTGCTAGAGCAATGTTTGTCTTCGTAGTGTTTATTCTTTTCACAACGTTGTCGAACTATCCCTCGTATATTGATCTACTAGTGGGATCACCTTCATCACACTCTTAGTAATCTGTATATTCTCGTGATGCCCTTTGGGTAAGCTTGGTTGAGCCTATTGGCGTGAGCAGGCGACCCTGAGATAATTGGAGATGTTGATTGTAGTTTCGAGCAAAGCTAAGACGGCAGCGGTGATTGAAAGAACGTCATTATATCATCATTAGCGAATTCACGGGGTAACACTCCATTTACTGACCATGACCTTGGCTGAGATACTGGGTATCTCAAGTAAACAAATATGAAGTGCTGATATAGCTTGAAAACGGATGATCAGCCGAAGAGATCCAGTGGGTGGTATAACGTCCATCGCCCCTGCATTTCGGAGCGACTTGTTAGAAATCTGAGAGATTGATGTACTGGCGTCAGTGGAAAATAGGGGCATCAATTGTCGATCGGTTACATTCAACCAAACAACGATTCGTTGCTCAAGCGCTGGTGATCGCGCCTACCTATATAATTTACACGTTGAACGCCATCATCCCACCTTAGCGCGCTCACACAATTTATCTGAATATCGAACCTTAGAGATACACGCCATGTTGTCTAAATGTTGCACCAAATTAAAATCAAAGATTGAGACTTTTCTTTCTTGGAAGCCGCCGGCTCCACCGAAATAGTGCACCCAAACATTCATGGATGTGCATTGTTCACAAATCTTAGTAAACCCATCAGTCCTTGTTGATCCACTTTCATCCTACTCTGTATGGCCCACCAACATAGGGAAGGTGTGTTGAACACTTAGCAGAGATTGGCTCTTGAGTGTGGCACTGAGAAAGAGCGAAAGTTTATTAATCTTGTTGAAATCTAGAGAAAGGAACATAGACCAATATTTCGTCATCTCAATCCTTTCGTCTATGCCGAAATACCTGTCATAGGTTACCCCACAGCCTTACAAGATCCAAAAAACCACAGGGAAAAAATTGTAGGAAGCGTATCACCTCGGTAGTTGATGGTATGCATAGAGTCCCTATATCCCCAAACTCCCACTATCTCGTTATCAGCCAACCACTGGTAGCTAACCCCTACTAGCCTTCGCAACAGTCTCTTCGATAACCCTAACCATCTCCTCCGTATTCTTCGCATCAAATGGAACCATATGCTTAGAACCATGATCATAGAAAGCCGCCTTGGTGGGCTCACAAAGCTCATATAAGCTAACGCCTTCAGGGAACAGCGCATCCGCCTTGCCAACTATATTCGCGGTCGGGATTGTAATCGGATACGTATCCGGCTGCGGGACGATATGCTTCAGTCCGGTGGTTTCCCACGGTGCTGCGCCGCAGATAAACACCGCGGCGCGGAATAGCGGCGGTTCAGCTGGGCGTGTCCTGCGTTGGTGGACTAGAAGTGAGGCTGCTAATGCCGCACCTTGTGAGAAGCCTATCACCGCATCGAATGGGCCTTCGTCTGCGATAAAGCGCTTGGTATGATCGAACGCTTCGAGGACGCTAGAGCCTGGTGAGGAACCTCGAGCGTAGTGGTTATAGAAGGGGCCGTCCACTATGCCTTCGAGTTCTGAATTGAATTTGGGTGAGTAGATGGTTGATGCAATTGGTCAGGAACAGAGCTTACCCTCTTCGACATTGGCACTCATCTTTCCGTTCATGAATGTGAAGCGGTGGCCGCTTTTCTCTAGCATCTGGCGGAGGCCTCCAATCTGGATTTCAAAGATCTGTAGCCGGTTAATACAGTCTAGATGTCTATGTTTGAATTGAAGCTGTGCATACTTCGCCATTTGTGCCGCCTCCGTGTAAGCAAAGAAATCGCATTTTGGTGCGTTTGGGTGTTTGTGCCTCAATGCTTCCAATCTTATAGTGTAGATTGTCCAGCAAGTGATTTAAGGGAAACAGCTCGGAATTTTGTGCTATCGCGAGATTTGCCGAGGCAAAGAAAAAGAAAATTCCACAGGACAGGTGGCCAGGAGAAGGAAGTCTCGAGAGATGCAAGGGGGGTCAACTTGCGGGGTGACTTGCAGGACTAGTTTGGCGATGGATTTGGCATGGTCTGATTTGAGATGTGCAAGGGTTGACAAAAAGGTACAAAGGTCGACAAAAAGATGCAAAGGTCTGGAATTACTCCGTACCAAGTTCAACATTCCACAGGCCTGTTCCTACCTTGCATATATTTATCAAGACAACCTTCGAAATCCATCCCTACACCTAGGTATTGTCAGATGAACAAATGGGGAAATCTTGGTAAGATCAGAGAGATCTTGACCTTCATACCTCGCACCAAATGCGGAAACAGAAATGGGGTTATGCCTTGGCCCAAGCCAATTCTAATGGCTACTCAACTCCCGCCCCTGAGCTAACCTGATCTCAACTTCCCACAACCCCTCATATTCTTCAGTTCGAGATGGATCTCCGTGATATTATAGCCACTCGTGGCTTCGCAACCTACAGCTTGCGTCATCCTCGCGAGGCATTGTCGAGCTTTGGCCCGACCCTGAATGAGGCCACCTTCGGCTATCTAGGGACATCGTTCCAGCCCGAGCGTGACATTCGCAGCCTGGAAGGCAAGGTTGTCCTTGTGACAGGAGGTACACACACATGTTTTTTTTCTTTCTATCTACAGCTTCCAGAACACTGACACTGCGATTGATGGATCCAGGCAATGCCGGCTTAGGCAAAGAGACTATCCTCCAACTCGCCAAGCATCGCCCGTCGCGCATCTACATGGCCGCCCGCACCGAGAGCAAAGCGCGCGAAGCAATCGAATCGCTACAATGCCAGCTCTCCTCCCCTGCCGATATCCGCTTCCTCGCACTCGATCTATCTTCCTTCAAATCTATCCGCGCCGCCGCAGACAAGTTCCAGTCCGATAGCGATCGCCTAGATATCCTAATCCTAAATGCGGGCACGATGGGCAACCCGCCCACTACAACGGAAGAGGGCTTTGAGGTCCAGCTCGGCACAAACCATATCGGTCACTTCCTGTTGACAAAATTACTTCTGCCGACTTTACAGAAGACAGTTAAGCTCGAACGCATCAAGGAGGAGGTGCCCGATGTCCGCGTCGTGACTGTCGCTTCGGCGGCTCATGCTGTTGGCCCCTCTACCTTTGAGGAAATTACATCTACCCCTGGTTTGCTGGCTGCTAGTACTTGGACGCGATACGGCGCTTCAAAGTCGGCTAACATCCTCTTTGCATCCGAGCTGGCCCGCCGGCATCCTGATATCTTGTCTATTGCTGTGCACCCCGGTGCGGTTGACAGCGGACTCTATGGACATACAAAGAGTCTCAACTCAGTGATGAAATACGGCATTGCTGTTGCTGGCTCCATACTCTTCCGGAGTGTCGCTAGTGGAGCCTTGAATTCTCTTTGGGCGGCTGGCACGCAAAGGGAAAACATTATCAATGGAGCTTACTACACTCCCGTTGGGTACCGCAGCGGTGGCACTGCGCCTGTGCAAAATACGCAATTGGCTCACAGGCTCTGGGATTGGACCGATACTCAAGTTTCGAAGCGTAGGTAAGGCACGATGGAAAAAAAAATAAAATTAAATAAAATGACAGGAAATTTATTGAGCGGTCTAGCTTGTTTCTGCCTTTTAGAATTCACAATGATTGCAATGCGCGTTGCCATCCCCCGCCTGTGAGAAGCCTCGGGCATGGAGGCAAGTGGCATCATTATGATTTCGACGTCAGTCATGCTGGCCCAGTCCCTGGATAAGTGCTCGCGTAGCTTGTTCATTTCAAATCCTTGCCCCAGAATCAAACACGGTTTCCCTTGAGCGAAGATCCAACTCCTACTCCCGTGCTTCGCTCGACACTTCCATTAGCATGGGCCATATCGTCGTGACCGGCGGCTCCGGCAAAGCAGGCCAATTCGTCATCAGCGAACTCCTCAATGCCGGACACAAAATCCTGAACCTGGACCTCATGGCACTGGAACACCCAGACGTGCACACCCTGAAAACCGACCTTGCCGATAGTGGCCAGGTCTTCAACGCCCTGTCCGGGCAATGGACGCTCCGCGAGCCCTTCCCGGAAGGCCTCCCGCCACGCCCAGACGCTATAATCCACCTCGCAGGTTACGCGCGCAACATGCTCGTACCGGACAACGAGACCTTCCGCTCGAACACGCAGGGCACGTACAACATCATCGAGGCAGGGTGCAAGCTAGGGATCCGCAAGATCATCATCGCTAGCAGCGTAACCGTGTACGGGGTAGCTTTCGCGCAAGGCGACACCAATTTCCCCTCATTCCCGATCCATGAGGACCTGGATGTCAACCCGACGGATACGTACGCGATCGCGAAGCTGTGCGGCGAACGCATCGCGCGGGGTTTTGCGGCGCGCTTCGGGGTGGATATCTACATCCTGCGCATTGGGCGCGTTATTCAGCCCGATGAGTACAATAAAGACATCTTCTACAGCTACGTGCATGAGCCGACCATGTGGAAGGTGCATGGATGGTCGTACATCGATGCGCGAGATCTGGGTGGGATGTGTGAGGCGGCGTTGCAGACTGATGGGCTTGGGTTTCAGGTCTTCAATGCTACCAATGATCATATTACCAACCTTAGTCCTACAATGGACTTTTTGAAGTCGCAATTCCCAAATATCCCTATCACGCGCGAGATGGAGGAGTTTGAAGCACCGTTTTCTAATGCCAAGATGAAGAAGCTTCTTGGGTTTCAGGAGAAGCATCCATGGCACAAGTACTTTAGTAATTGGGAGAAGAAGCAGATTGAGATGGAGGAGAGGGTTAGTGGTTAGGGAATGAAACTTCCAAGGCTAGTGTCAACATCATTCCAAAGTTGCACTGTTGGAACTATACATCTCGATCTCTCCGTCATCCTACAGCCCGATTAGGGTTTAGCCGAGCATCCAATATCCCACAATCGAACAACCCTGGGACTTGCGAATGACCAAAATCACAAAGAACAACAGTTAGATGGGATTACAATAGAATCAAGTTAGAAAACAGATCAGAGTGTAGACGTTAAAACAAAACCAGCATGTGAACCCAAATCGGCGCATTAGCGAATATTCTGGTCAAACTCCCCACACAAAACTCTTGGGGATGCATCATCATTCCACCCACTTCCACTTCACGCTCCCTCTTACCATCTCCCCCTCAACCATTTTTTAACGGTACGCAAATAGAGAGATTGCTTGTTGAATTCATTGAACAGTTTTCTTGAAATCCTTGAAAATTCATCCTCGAAATTATCAGCTAATCCCGCGCCAGGCGATCACCCCTCCAGACTTCATCATGGATCAGGCAAAGTTGGCTAGAATGCAGGCGAGCGTTCGCATCGGTATGTTTCTGTCTCTGTTCAAGCATTTTGGAGCTTAAGATACGATCTTGGCCATGACGTGGAGCTGCGATTCTCTTGAATTGGTAGCCCTAGAGCTTGGTCAAATCCCAATCCTTCTGCCCAGGTGCAATTTACATGCAACTCTTGGTGCAATTTGGTGCAATTTTGATCGCTAACATGAATTTTCTTGATAGGGTATGTTTTTTTCTACTCAGAATTAGTTTTTTTTTGACCCCGACCTCTCGACTCCCTACGGAGGAAACGAATTTTTGAACTGCAAGACCCGGATTCAACAAAGTCGATCGTCAGACTACGGATTTCCCGATTCTCGAATCCATGCGACGGCGTCATTTTCCAATGATCAAACTGAAGATCGAGATCGCGTGGCTTGGAGAATCCAGTCTGACTTTCGACCTTGTCAAGAATCCTCGCCTTTTCTTCAATCTTTTCGGATCCAGCCCCAGTTCATCCAACCCCCACCACCCAAATTCACCCATTCCTCCACACCGAGCCAACCACATTTTTTTCAACAGTCCCATGTCCAACCAACTAACAATTCTACAGTGGCAAGGGTACTCCTCGCCGCAAGGTCAAGAAGGTCGTCCGCAACTCCGGCGCCGATGACAAGAAGCTTCAGGCCGCCCTCAAGAAGCTGAACGTCCAGCCTATCCAGGGCATCGAGGAGGTCAACATGTTCAAGGAGGACGGAAACGTCATCCACTTCGCCAACCCCCGTGGTGAGTAGCAACCACCCCGAAATCAACTCTGGTCCCTTCAACACACAAAAGCGAACAACAAGAAGGAAGGAGAGAAAGAAAAGAAAAAGAAAAAGAAAAACAGGCAACTAACAATTTCATCGCAATAGTCCACGGTGCTGTCCCCTCCAACACCTTCGCCCTGTACGGCAACGGTGAGGAGAAGGAGCTCACTGAGCTCGTTCCCAACATCCTTAACCAGCTCGGCCCCGACTCCCTCGCTTCCCTGCGTAAGCTCGCCGAGAGCTACCAGAACATGCAGAAGCAGCAGGGTGATAAGAAGGACGATGAGGAGGATGATATTCCCGACCTCGTTGAGGGCGAGAACTTCGAGAGCAAGGAATAAATACGCTTAGATGCGAACTAAATCGAGTCTTTAAAAACTTTCGTCTATGATCAATGAAATTAAAGCTCCGGTTCGAGAGTTGTTTTCTTTGTTGAGTCTCTATCTCTTTTTCTTCTGGCGGATTCGTCTCTTCCTCACGGGCAGGTTGATTCATGGGTTTACAAAGTGCCAGGGTTATTGATGCACATGGTGGAACGGCGGGATCTTACTTCTGACAGCTCGATGAGTTTATCTGACGGGCCGCTGAAGCAGAACTCTGGAGGGATTGTACTTGTCACATTTCTACAGAATATCAATTTTGCGTGCGATCCCCTCAACAGGACAGTTTATTAGATGCGGCTATCGTACACATCATCCAGTGACCAAGGCCCGGACCAGTTTACCACAAAGCCATTGCCCCCCCCCCCCCCCCCTCGCCTTGCGCAACACGTGCAGCGCTGTCGACTGATCGCTCAAGCTGCGTAGCGATTCGGTGGGTTTTTTTGCGGCAAGACTTCGCAACTGTGGTGAAAGATCCATGATGTAGTGAATCATTAGCGATGAAGAGGTATTCTTTCTCGGCTCGGTAGTTTCATGTCGCCTCAACTATCCTCCTTCAGTCCGCACATATCCGTTCTCAAGAAATAATCGAACGTGTACCAGAACCTCCAATAAAGGCCAGACTTTTCTGAATCGAATGTGCCGTCCTCACGGAGCAGCGGGCCCTCGCCCACGATGTCACCTGTGAACCAGCTCAGAATGGGGATTGAGCGGAGAATGCGCTCGGTCATAGTAGGCTGTGGAGGGAGTGCCTCAACCATGGGGCGCAGCTTGGTGCGGCGGACGGTAGGAATATGCGTCATAAATTCGTTGTCGGGGGTGGGTTCGGCCTGAACGAGAGCTCGGCGTTGGTGGACTGAGGTGCGATCATTACTGGACAAAGCTCCTGTCGTCCATGTTGACGAAGAAGTTGCTGTGTTGAAACTGCTTTGCTGGAACGAGGGTGTGGCAGTGGCCGTTGCGGAGGTTGCAGTGGATGTAATTGTATCCTCGGAGGTACCAGCAATGGTCGAGGAGTCGGCCGAGTGCCCTTCGTCCTCGGGCATATCCGGTACACTGGAAAGGTTGTTCATAGCAAAGGATCGAGGCAATGTCATGCGCTCCGGGTCTGTGTTTGAGTTGGAGAGGAAGGTGGTCGAGTGCGAGGTGGTCAAGGTGCGCGGTGCTTTGTTGCGAATCCGACTGCTCACAGCAGAATCTGCGGGGATTGGGGCATCTTCAGCTGGGCCTTGGCCATTGTACAGCTCACAAAAGACCAGGTGTCCATCGATTTCCTGTGGCGAGTAGAAGCATGCGCGGTCTGCGGCCTGGGTCGAGTCGTAGGTGACCTTAATCCAGTGGTAGCCACCGGCATAGCGCTTTGACTTGCGATTCGCATCAGCCGACAGGTTTCGGATAACGACGTCGCCTCCGCTCAATAACTGGGTGTAGTGGTTCGCTGAATTCGGGTCGTTGCGAGGGTAGTCTTCGCAGATCATGCCCTGGGAGATGCGCTCGTACTTGTCGATCACTTTCCACTCGTTGTCCTTGTTTTTGTATCCGTAGAGTATGCATTCGGTAGCGACCTTCTCGGTTTGCTTCCGTTGGTTCTCAAGACTGGATGACGATGATGATTTGGGCAAGCCATGTGTTTTCTCCTCTTCCTGCTGTTGCTGTAAGAATAGCCGACTGAACTCGGCGACATTGGGGTTCTCGCGCTTTGCTGGTGTTCCAGTCCGTGTTCGTGAGCGAGCATTGTCGTATCGAGCATTTCTTCTCTTGCCGAAGGGTCCTGATTCTTCAGGTGGTCGTCGAGGGTTGCGGGATTCACTGAGAAACGTAGTGGTTAGGCTTGGTAGGAGAGGAGTTGGAAATTTCATCAAACGTACTCTTTGTAAACATAACCCCAAGGGAGGAGGTTGCCATCCTCATCTCTGGCGCGTTCCTCCAATGGAACGGAGTGGTACTCCATGACGGCAGATAGAATGTCGTTAAAGGATTGGATGAGTTCCAAGTCAATAGATGTAAAGAAGTAAAAGCGTTGAAAGTGAGGTTCTGAGAGATGAAAGCGAAAAAGGGTAAATATGTCCGCTGGGCATCGAGACAGCCAAAACTTTTGGTAAACACTGGTTCGCCGGGATACAGTCACGTGGTGCCATGTCTCTTTAAAAGGTTCCAACCGGTGTTTCTTCTAATTTTATTCAGTTCGTCTCATGATCGATTGAGAGCAATCCAATGGGATTTCTTGCAGTGCACTTTTAACTTCAGCCCTAAAATCTGGATCCTGTATGAAAACTGACTATGCTAAATTACTCGGTCAATCTGAGTGCAATGAAATGTGCCCAGCATCGCCTGCCAATCTGCAAAATCTCCCAGCTCTTGCCTTGGTTGATGAAAGTATCTCATGAACTGACTGGGAGGACTTCAGGGCTTGAATTGCAGCGGATATTATGATCCGATCATACATTTTCATTTGGACATGCGAATCCTCGTAGAACGGGAGAAACGCGCTACACTCGTACGGCAGCCGATTTGGACCAAATTTGACAATGGAGTTTCTGCCGTGCAGAAACTTACAAATCGCCGCTAACTAACGTATTCGGTAAGCGAGCTGGCCACCCTGACCAAAACGCGTGCATGAATTAGATCTTAATTAGTTCAACCACCCACCATGCCACCAATTCGTACTCAATCCTCTCGAAATTCAATAGAGTAGGAGGGTAGGATCTTACTAGCTATTGAGGCTTTTCAAAATCAAGAAATCTCTTCAATTCGTGAAGTGGCGCGCCGTTTTAACGTCCCAAGATCTACCCTTTCTACCCGCCTGAAGAGTATACAACACCGCGCGATTTCTCGCGCTAACTCTTATAAATTAACAGATACTGAAGAGGAATCTCTTTGGAAATAGATCCTCTCTATAGATTCTCGTGGATTAGCCCCCTGGCCCTCTATAGTATAAGAAATAGTAGATCTTCTTCTTTAAAAGCGTAGAACTACCCTAGTTCTTTCGGTCGGCGAGAAATAGGTATATAACTTCGTGAAACGGTATCCTCTCCTCTCCTCCCGATTCTCGAAACGATATAACTACGAGCGTGTGAGATACGAATATCCTAAAATTCTTAAGGAGTGGTTTAATTTAGTTTAAAAGATAATCCTTTAATTTTAGAATCGACTTCGTAGCTTGGACCCTAAGCAGTTCGTTGAACTACTTGAGCTCACAAGCTTCTACTCGCGGGTCTACACGAGGTAACTCACTCATTTGATATCTCCTTTTCTTTCTCTCTCTAGTCTTACCTACACAACGTATCTACTACGCTCCTTCTACTATGCCTCTCATATAGAACGGGGCCCTTTTAGGCCCCTTTGACCCTTTCTCCGCGTTCACAAGCCCTCAGAGGCGACAACATGCGAATACCCGATGCGGTATCCCCCACAAAGTCTTCTAGCACTCGCCAATCACCCACCTAGACCCCCCGGGTCCCTCACCCCTATGATGGCCGGTTCACACGTCGGAGACAGCTGTCACCAACTGGCTACTCAGCCCTCGCATTTACGAATGCACGAACTGCAATCTGTGGAGAAGAATCTTTGTATAATAGAAACCGTAGCATTGCACGTCCCAATACCCCATGGGAGGTGGCAGGAGCAAGCTTTCGCTTGTCCCCAGCCGGACGTTAATTAAATCTCTACCTACCTACCTTCCAGTCTAGGCCGAAGAACCCAGAGGCGAAATGACGAACTTGAATTAATCACACAGCCCGAGTCACTTGCCTATTGACGCGTGCGAGGGTCCTTCGAGATTAGATCTCCACATCGTGTCCCAAATCTGACCCCAACCGAGAATGCACCCAGCATTCCAGCATGTGGGCCTGTGCGAGTCAACTCCCCAAAGTCTCTTTCGCGAATGTTGGAGAAATAGATCCAGTCATTCAGGAACTCAACTGAGCCATTAGGAGCTAGGTCTGTCTTTTGTACTCGCTTCGGAAATTGGAGAGGTCCTATCAATTGGGAAATGTTAAAACCTGTCTATTTTCAATTGACGGGCTGGCCTTCTCCCGGTAAAAAGGTGTTGCATACCGTGCTCCATGGCGAGATCACTAGGTTTCATTGGCAAACGTGATGTAACAATTTTTTAGGAGACGTGCCAGATGCACTTGGTCCACTGATCATCCGTCAGGGAGTGCGAGATTTGAAGCTGCATCTTCACCGGTGTTCTCAGTCCGGGGCTCATCTCCTCCGAGATAATTGAAAGCATTCCACCCCGTCTCTCAAGACTGAATTGAGCCTGCAACCTTAGATTGAAGTAGATGGAAACATGTTTTCCAGGTCCTAGAATAGGGTGATACAAACTATCCTTCGGAGGTAAATGCAATAGATTGAACCGGGAACGAAAAGGGTACATCACGAGGCCCAGAGAAAGAGGGAGGAGGACTGTTGGGATCTTCAATAAAGATCGAGCGAACTGCATCACAAGCCCAAAGCCAGACCAGCCCCAAGAAGATCAAAAAACTTGATTTGGATGACTAGGTTGGTCGTTTATGGAGATGCGAACGCTTCGTGCGGGCTAGGCATCATCCAAGGAATTGAGACCGTAGCGATCTAGATGTTCACTATTTGCATAAACTGATTCTCTTTACTTCATGGATATAGTAGCATAATTCTCAATTTAAAATAAGAAGGTACGCAAGAATTTGATGCGACAATTCTCAAGTTTCCCAATCGCAACGGGCTCCAAAATTTCATTCGGACCCGAAAAGAACGCCCGGGTCGCTCATATCACAGGCAAGATTATGCAAGTTTCTACCATCGCCATTTTACCTTCCACTTAGTTCTAGCCCGCACTGCGTTTCGGGTCACCCTTGATCCCATCTATGGCCTCTTTCGGACAGTGCATAAGCGACCGTTCTTTTCGGGTCTGAATGGAATTTTGGAGCCCGTTGCGAATGGGATCCTATGATGGGTGACTACTGTCTGAGATCTGCAAGGCATCGGGAGATTCTCATGGCAAAGGAAGTCAGGAAGATCCTACGTTAAACCACCCTAGCATCAAGACAAAACTGAGCATCTCCTTCAGCTCATTTTTCATCCAGTCGTCCTGATCTAATAGCCCGTACAGGTGATTTAGGGCCTGAAGGCGATGTTCCCATGCCGGAAGCCGGACCCGCTGGTCTGACAACTTGAGGGTAGTGGCTGCGATGGCTAGAGCGGCACACGATAGCCCCTTGAACGATAGGCCTATGGGTAGTATGAGATGCCGAAATGGATTGCAGTGTACAGTATCTACGAGGGTTGAACTACTACAGATTATGTGTTCGAATCAAGACATGAGCGTAGGATCCTCATCTGATTGCTGGTAGGGAGAGATAGCATTCAGCCAAGGCAACAACGCACTTTGTTGAGAAAACGGCTTGCTTCCTTTGTAACTGGGCTGGTTGCCATTCAAATGGATCTGGAGATCGATCACAGTCGTGTTCAAAAAAAATCCATCTCCATGGCAAAACACCTCAGGCTAACGATTCCTCAGGCCAGACCAGACGAAGTCCAGATCCGCAGGGGGCATTACGAGCGCAAAGACGGCAAAATGGATGGGCTTCTACCAGGCTTTTCATGAGAGCCGTGTTTCTGTAAGAGCTTATAAGGAAATATCATCACATTGCGTGCACCCCATGTCCAATAGCCTGCACAAGCTCTTACAAATGCAGTCATTTAACGTTTACCCCGCACCAGTTGAGGCCCTGTTACCACAGCTCGGCCGAGAACGACGCTAATGTATGTTGTAGGTGCACAGGCTGGGGGGGGGTTTTTTTTTGGAACCGGTGCTAATGCTACGATAAGTCATCACATGTTAGGAGCCGTCTAGATAATTTTATCACTTCTTCCGTACTCAATGAGTTTGGTGAATTAGATTCCCCATATTTGTTATTTTATGGTTTTAGAATTTATTATTTATTACGGCGTGCATGTATTGGCTGTCGTGGCAGGGGTACATGTGGGCCAAAGCTAGAAGTTATTGATGGGAATTGGAATTGGAATTGGTACTTCACGATATTTCGATTCGCAGGGATGTGGAGGATATCCACTTTCAGCTGTATTTGTGGATTGAATGGGACAAAAGGGGGCGTGGATTTGAGAATCCAGACATCTACAACATACTAGCTGATAGGGCTACTTCTCCATTGCTATACTATAGTGAGCAAAGTCACAACCCGGTTATAGAGACTGACTTGAAATTCCCTTGAAATCTGTCCTTTAATACCCCAACTTTGCACGTTGACATCTAATATAGTTAAGAAATGCAACCTCGCGCCCATAAATTGACTTGGCCAACTTGCTCAGCAAAGGGCACTTGGCATAGAGTCCAGTCTCTCATGTTGTATTGAGAGAAAGGTTAGAGGAGGAGACATCTAATACCTCGGGGAATGTAAAACTCTCACTCCGAGACTCAATTTTGTGACACCGCAAATGTCCCAATAATCATCTATCGATTGATGTAAGTTCGGGATGATGCAGGACACATTTATGAAATAAACTGCTGTCTTGCACCAGGGTCCTCGACAATTCAGATTTATTTCATCCTCGGGTACTCTGTACAAATCCCCCGTCCCCTCCCACTTAAAACTTCCCTTCTCCCCTTCAGGGCATCTATTTCCCTCCACATCATCTCCCTACAAAGCTCACCATGGGTTTCAGCACTGCAGCCGAATTTGATCAGGTACATAGCATCCGCACAATTCGACATTTCTGCTTACATTTTCTAGGCCTATCAAAGTGTGCAGGGTGCTTTTGCATCAGGCACCACCAAGAACAAGGCTTGGAGGCGTCGTCAACTGAAACGTGCTTGGTGGATGATTGAGGACAACAAGAAGCGCATCTGTGACGCTCTCTATGCCGATCTGCATAAGCACTATCAAGAAGCTTACACCAGCGACTGTGGTAATATTCAAGCAGATATTCTACGAACTCTCAAAAAGCTGGAGAAATGGACCAAGGATGAGAGACCGGGAAGGTCCGATCCGCTCAACTTCCTCGGAGGAGCCACTGTCCGCAAGGAACCTCTTGGTGTGACCCTGATTATCGGCGCATGGAATTTCCCCGTCAATCTGCTGCTGCTGCCAATGATAGCCGCGATTGCTGCCGGATGTGCTGTAATTCTCAAACCGTCAGATGTGGCAAATGCCACCCAAGATGTCCTGATGGAAATTGTTCCCCAATACATGGACCGAGATGCCATCCAGTGTGTTTCTGCTGGTCCACAAGAAATGGGTTACATCCTTGAGCATCGCTTTGACCACATTTTCTACACTGGATCCCCCAATATTGCCAAAATAATCCATGCAGCAGCGGCGAAGCATCTGACCCCCGTTACACTCGAGTTGGGCGGGAAATGTCCTGCCATTGTTGCGGAGTCGGCGGATCTCGATCTCGCTGCGAAACACATCGCGGTTACCAAATTCATGAATGCTGGACAGGTAGGTGCGCACTCCCCTCCCCCCAAGCCATCAAACAGCTAATCTATCACGATGGAAGGTTTGTTTGAATGTGAACCACGTTTTCGTTCACCCAGGTCTACAAGAGCGCCTTGTCGCCGATCTGAGTCAATACTTTGACACGTTCTTAGGAGGCAAAGCCAACAACCCAGAGTATTATACACACATCATCAATGAGCGCAACTTCGACCGCCTTGACAGTCTACTCCAGCAGACCTCTGGAAAAATCGTCTATGGTGGCCATCGGGATCGGCAGAGTCTGTACTTCGCACCAACGATTGTCACCGGAGTCAAACCCGGCGATTCCCTTCTCTCCGAAGAGCTTTTCGGTCCAATTCTCCCCATCGTGGATGCAGACTTCGATACTGCGATCTCTCGGACACGCGAGGGAGAGCATCCACTCGCGATCTACGCATTCACTACTCAAGATGCCGATAAGGCTCGCATCTTGAACGAAACCCAGTCTGGGGGTGTGACCTTCAATGACTGCGGTCTTCATGTCGTTGGTCGCGATGTGCCCTTTGGTGGTGTTGGCAACTCCGGTCAGGGGTGTTATCGTGGCCCGCATGGTATCTTGACTTTCTCGCATCTCCGTACGCACATCAACGCCGTGCCTTCGTGGTTGGAGGGGCTTCTAGCTGCGCGGTACCCCCCGTACTCGGTTCAGAAAGCTCACAAGATGGTGGCCCCCATCACCCCGTCTTTTGACCGGGACGGCAATGATACGAATTTCGCTCGCTCAAAGTGGGCCTTCGGTGTTGGTATCATCGCGCTTTCTGCATTATTTGTGACTCGGCGGGATCAGATTGCCACTTTCGGATCTAAATGGCTCAAGTAATTTGACTATCTTGTATGTGTGCCGAATAGAACTAGTGGTATCTTTTCTACGGCTTATGTATATGATCACAGGTAGAATTGTCCCTCTGGCCTCCATTTCTTTGTTTGGAACGGTAAAGATCGTGAAAATTCCGGGGTGGGGGGGGGGGGGGGGGGGTATAAATCGGCAATTCTTCAAAATTGCCGGATGTGATGACCATTCAAGACAAGAACGACACTGCGTAAAAAGCCGGCATTTTCGGAGATCGCGACTAAATCACCGGAGTCTATCGGAGTCCCTCGGTATCATCAAGTCAAACTACGTAGTAACAGTACAAGGAAACTAGAACGCGATATACCGAAAGCCAAATTGAAAACAGTATAAAAGATGGGGTACAGTGGGAAGCCCAAGTTCTTGGACGAGCTCCTCTTTGCCTACCATTTTCATATTGGGCGATCTCAGACAAGTCATGAAACTATCACGAGTTCTCTTAGGATTCACTGTTGCCCACAATGCTGGGACTGTCTCTGCTGTTCCACTAAACAGCTGGTCTGCCGGGCTCCGTGCATCATCGCACGCGGTTGAGATGTTCAATACGGCTATTGAATGGAATGACAAGTACTGGGACGACGAGGCCGGCTATCTGATTACCTCAACAAGCAGTCCTGGACGTTATGATAGTCGGCACTCGGCCTGGTATGCACCTCAATTACTAGCCAGAAATGGACCGGGGGATGTTGCAAAAGCCGTCCGTATTTTCGACAATGTTATCTCTGGTCAATATCTCGATCGATCTAAACAGTGGTATGGGGACTATCAACAAACGCCTTCAGAACCGGAGCCTGGGACGCTGGAATATCCTAATGATGGCCCATACAGCTCGGTAAGCTGATCATTCCTAGTGTAGTCCACCGGTTGTGTTTCAACGGGTTATTTCGCTAATGTGACGTTGATCAGTGGGATCCAAACATTCGCGATTTCGTGGGCTGCGCCTGGATTGTAGCCATGAACGATTATGGTCACCTGCTTCCAGCGGTGACGGTCTCCAAAGTCGAAGAGTCCTTGCACATCGCCGCCAAAGGCGATCTCTATCGTGTTGGAGGAGTTGATGGCGACAATTCGTACCCCTGTTACTCTAATCCCTGGTTAATGAGAACCATTCTTCAAAACTGGGTTGGTGCACGAGTCGGAGATGCAAACTTGACCAACGCTGGGGAGAACTTCGCACGGGAAATCTATGACCTCTGGAGTATGCACCACACGTTGTCTGAATTTAATTCTCCGACATACGCTGGCGTTGCCATGTGGGCATTGGCTCTCTGGAACCAGTACGGGACAAGTGGCAGTTTGTTGAAGAAGTATGGACCGGAGATGCTCAGATACAGCTGGGATGAACTCTCTCAGCTCTACAATGCAAATCTGAAGAACATCGCTGGCCCTTGGGATCGTTCATATGGCTACGACATGAAAGAGTATGCATCTCTTACCGGCGCTGTAATTTGGGGCGTTGTTGGCCGTGAGCAGGCCCCCGTTCCTCAGCAGGAGCTAGGGATGTTTCATCAAGACGATTTCGCGTTTTACCCACTATTCGCCCTATCGATGCCTGAGATGGTGAAATATCTGCCGGAAAAGGCAAAGGCAAGTTTGCTGGAATTCCCTGGCGAGCATATGTATACTTCGCAGGCTTACTCGCCGCCATTTGATACCTATCCTCGCAACATCACTGCTTGGGTCTCCAAGGACGTGACTATTGGCGCAGAAACGGTTGCCGAGACAGTTGTCGGAGGTCCCAGTATCAACCCCAGTCAGTTCAATCCTGCCGTCATTCAGTGGGCTATTGACGATCACCAAGTTGGCTGTATTTCGCACTGGGTCACAGAGTCTTCCATTCATGCCGTGGCCGCCCCTCGGTCTTTGAACATTACATATCCAAATGCAACATCTGTGCAAGGGCCAGTTTCTTTCAATTTTTTGTTCAGCGGTCTCACGGTCAACAATGGGTTCAATGTAACTGGACTGGAAGGGTTGCCTGGTTTGAACCTCAAGGTCTCGACAAACGCGCAAGCGGAGTACACGATTACTTACAACTCTGATCACTCTATAAATGAATTTGTGTTTTATAACATCACATATACGATGCCCGAGAGCTTCACTGGGGTACCATTTGTATCTCTTCAGATCGTTTGAGCGTACATGAACAAGATGTCGTCATATCCCTTAGCGTCCAATGCCAATGTCAATTTCAACATGCTATCTGATTCAAAAATTGTGTGTACAGAATCAGATGTCCTCTCAACTCTGAGAGACGTGCATAAGTCACTCGCCCTTTTTCTCCTCCTCGGGTTGACCCTCTCCATCGGTCGACTCCGATCGCATCTGAGGAAGCCAAAAGCGTGCAATAACACCACCCAAAAACCGCTGGTCTGCCCACTTGACCAACCCATAGAGGATCCAACCCCAGCCCCACAGAGACATGCCCATCATGCTAGTGGCCAACAACACCGGACCAAGAATGAGCAAGGACAGAACCGCCCAGAGTAATATCGGCGCTGCAGCGAAGACAAATACACCAGCCAGGAATACCAGTAGAGGGACTCCACAGCAGATCATTTGGCAAACGATCAAGGTTGTTGCGGCCGGACGCTTCAATGCAGCTTCATATATCGCAGCCTGACGGGGCGGGGGGAGAAGCCAGGCGACAAATCTCTGTATGCACGACTCGAGGTAGTCAAAGGCTTGAGGTAATAGTGTGGAGAACCATGCTGTGATGGTGGACCATATCGATGAGAATGAGAGATTGTTGTCGACGCCCTCGCCTTTGGAAGAAGCATCGTCCGAAGGAAATTGACCTGGGAGGACAGGGTCGGTCAGGTCCTTGGTCGTTCGATCTAGCTTCTTTGGTGTGCTTTTCTTGACCACTCCACTTGTTGATTGGACTTTGTCGGCAGGAAGCTGTCCGATCACACCGCCGGTGACATGATCAAGGGGCATTCTGAGGGCTGGTAGGTATTTGTCTGGGATCAATAAGGGTGTATGCTAGATTAGTTCAAATCTCTGTCAACGAATCGACAGAGATTCGGAATATCTACATCAACGATCAGATCCTTGACATGACGTATGGGGCGTTCTGCCAACTGGTTTGCTGCGATATTAATTCTGCGTCACCATACGCCATTCATAGCCTTGGAGACTTGCAGCATATTCTCCCTAGGCTACGGAGTACACAGTTCCTGTATTTTACACTATATTCTGACTAAAGCGTGAAGACGGGCTAAGGGAAAGCAACATAGCGACATGGATTTTGTCATCATCGTGTGAAATCTTTGGCCAGTAGACCAATCTAGGCTTTAAACATCGATTCATTATGGAAATTACGAGAATTATGCACTTCATATGATGATCGTATTGGAAACAAAGAGAGAACTGTCTTTACTACTTACGTAGGGAGATATGGGGTAAGGATAAAATCGAAGAAAGCGCTATGCTACGAATCATCAGAAGTGCCATCGCGATCGTCAAACGTCATGAAATCAGCCTCATCAACTTCATCTCCTACGACTATCTTCCAAGCCTCTTTTACAAGGTCGAGAGTGTCGTCTTCGAATGCCAAGTCAAGGCTCGAAGGAGGGAAATTGTAGCCATTAGGAACTCCGTCCTCGACAATAAGATGCCGGGGCTCACCATTGCTTACAGGACCAATATGGGTGTATCGCAAGGACCACAGCACACTGGCCGGGAGACCTTCTGCCCGAATCAGTCTATCCACGGCAGACTCAATGAGTGCTTGACCTTCTGGCCCAGGCAGTGCCACGCTGCAATAAATTATACCTGTGACAATCGATTAGCCACATGGACGAAAGCATTTTTTGGCGAAGCAAGTTTGGAGGGTGCTCGTGATCAGGTGAAAAAGTTTTCAACATAGCAAGTTCAGGCAATGTAGATAAGTTTTTGAAAAAAATCATCATGCGAGCAGTGAGGGATAGAACATGTCGGGGAGGGCTGCACAGGAGATGACTTACTTTGCTGATGTGGACATTCGCCCGTGTCGCTTGAATGAACCTGCAGGTATACAGGCGGGGATTGGGGACTTCCCAATGTATCCCCTGGGAACATGAGAACTGTAGTTGCAGGCACAGGAGCACCTTCAACTACAACAGGAAAAAGAGACGGGAAAGTAGCCGACACAACACTGATCGAGCGGGCAACTTCAACCAAGGGCGTCATGCGCGATTTGGAAGGAGTATCTGACGAGGTGAACAGGTATTTCGACTGAACAGACCCTTCATTCGTTATCTTCAACAGAAAAGGATGTTTGGAATGTTCAGAGCCTGTCCGCCATAAGCAATCATCAATGTGCGTGTCCAAAGCATATACACCTCCTCCCACAGCGGATGCACGACAGGCTGCTTGCAGAATTTCAGCTCCGCTACCATATTTGGCAATCACAGCTCCAAACCCAGGGCCAAGATGGCCGATGGATGAAAGATGCCTTTGGATCCTGGGCACAGCATAACTGGCAGAGGTATCTTGTTTAGAAAACTGCGAGAGAGACAGCGACAGCAGAGGGTTATGAAGTTCCTCCGGGACACTGAACTTGGAAGCTAAGTAATCATTCAAAGGCATTGATAAATCCTCATTCTCATTTGAAGAATCATCCTCATTGGGCTTGGTGATATGACGCAATAATCGCATGAGGGTTCGCTTGGACTTCATGCTGATATGGTTTGCAGCAAACACATCCTCACGGTTGCCAGGTACGCGGTAGAGAATATTTTCTGCGCCAGACTCGCCAGTTTTAGATTCTGGCTGTTCCGGTGTGTAAATCCACCAGCTGCCAACAGCCATGAACTCCAACTGGCGAAATACCTTTGAGGATACGAGCGCTGACATTAGTTGAGAACGGGCATATAAGAGATAAGGGGACAGGGACAAAGTGTAAGCACGGCTGGATGCAAGTTTTTGGAAACTGTCCTCGGCTAGAGAATTGTCCAGTTTGAAAATTGAGGCGTCTTTGAACGATGGTGTGCTAGTGTCTGTTTGGCAGTACAGTATTAGCCATGAATCATCCAGCCACATACAAGATGTAACTCACCTTTATTGACTTTTTCTGCCCATGCTTGGGCCTCATCAAGACTAAAGGCTGCATCTGAACCACCATAGTACTGGTTTGAGTCTATGTGAAGAACCTTCTTTCCGGATCGTGAGAGGGCCCTTTGGGAGTATGAGTGCTCAACTCACAGCCACCCTAGGAGAGTCACTCACAGTGCCAGAAGAGACTGAGGAACCCCAGTCCCATCAATGATGACATCCCAAGTCGTGTCTGACAAAGTTTCCATGGTGTGAGAAATCAGGAACAAATTCCTAGCTGCAGGTAAGTCCGAATATTACAGCCAAATTTGGCAGCTCAAGCTTTCACAAAGTTAAGAACAAAGAGTTTAAATGCGACTAACGCATTCTCAGTCTTTCCAAAGCTTTGATGCTGAAAATCCCACCAATTTTGAGGTTGGGGGAAAGAGAAGGAAGAGGAGAAAAAAAATCGGAGAAAAACGCGAGAAGTGCGCGTGAAGGCGGTCACCCGGACCCCACTTCAGTCAACAGTCCTGGACAACTTCAACAAAGATATTGCAATCAAGCTTGAATTACTTTAGTTATGAAAGGGAATCTGATTCACTTGGCTTGATTTGACTTATTCTCAATGGTATAATAGCACGGAACTTCAAGATTTGGAACATGTGCTACGACAGCTTTTCTCCATCTCCTCTCTCAGGGGCACCTGGTTCCCTCTCGAAGATATTTAAAATGTCCTCAACTATGGCTTTAATCAGCTCGCTTCTCTGCAGCTCCATGAGCTTGATCTTGTTCGATCTCTGCCTCTGTCATCCCTTCTTCGCTCAGTTTCACGTTCTTCAAGAACAACATCACAATAAGCATCAATGAAAGTGAAGCAAGACCTGCAATTGCGAGTAGTCTTTGCGACTCTCGGTAACTGCGATTGATGGCATCACGAGCCTCAGTGCCCATGGCGTAATTTCGAGCTACAACAATTGATCCGAATATAGATTTGGCTTGACCCTTCAGTTCACTAGGAAGATATTTTTGCAGCTTTTTTGGGAGGGTGTTTCGCCATATGGCCCCAGCGACACTATTTGAAAGTATCAATTAGAACTGATTTGGATTTATGACTAGGTGTGGCTGCTTACCTTGTCCCAATTGCACCACCCACACTCATCGATGCAAAAAACACTGCGGTGACAACAGAAACATCCTGCCGTGAGACCACGGCCTGCACTGAGACCTGTGCGGCCGTTTGATAGAATCCGCGACCAATACCAATCAACGATTTGGCTGCCACAAAGGATGCTTCATTCCCACTGCGACCATCTCTCAAATCCACCAGATAGAGAAGTACACCCATTCCAAGAACGCAGAGCGGAACGCCGATCAACACCCAGATCTGAGAGCGCTTGGTGTACTTCATAAAGAAAGCGGCAAATATGCCGGCCACCTGAAAGGCCACACGGAGGGAGTTACTAGTTTTGATATCAGCCTCATGAAGGGGGAAACAGCAACGAAAATAGCTAGCAATGAACGGGACGGGGGGTTGTACTCAATTCTGGTTGCTGGCCCCGGCGAGAAGTTCCCAGCTACCTGAAGGTAACTTGTGAAAAAGACACTGAACACTGAATAGTGAAAGAAATCCAATGCCCCAAGAAGGCATGCGGCTGCCACTGTGCGGTTCTTGACCATACGATAAGGCACAAATGGCTTTTTTGAAAACCATGTGTCCCAACCCAAAAATGCGATTAAAAATACCACACCAAGGACCAACATGGCGATAAATGACCCGTTGGTCCACGCACCGCTGTTATTAGAGCCTGTCAAGGACAAGGGAACCAAAAGAAGAGACAATCCAGCCACAAGTAGAATAGCCCCTGGCAAGTCGAGTTCAATCCAAAACAACCGGTATGCCTTCTTCCACCAGGCATCACTAGTTCTCCAGCCTAATGCCTCAGACACAGATACTGGATATGGCGTTCGACGTTGATAAAACAGCATGGTACCGATCAATGGCAGCGATGCAACGGGCAAAATAATCGCCCACATGCCCCATCCCCACCGCCACGTTGAATGGTCCAGGACGCGCTGAGCGACGATAGTACCAAGGTAAAGAGTCGGAATTGTGGTGAGAGAATCAGGCAGCGTTGACCAGATACCACGATCGACTAACGAGGTCATGTCCGCCACAAATATCTGTTGTGTGAGGGCAAATCCAGTCGATCCAATAGCGTCGAAGATACCAGCAACCTGTGAGACACAGCAACAATCAGCACTGTGCGAGATACTTCACGAGTCCAAGAGGATCGCCTCTTACAATGTATTGCGTTATGTTCGTGCAGGCTGCCCAAATGGCGTAACCCAAAACAGACATAAGAATAGACAAGATGAACATCTCAGCCCTACCGAAGACCTAGCCATTATGGTAAGTTAGCAATGCAAAAAAACTTGGAAGTCTCGAGAATGCTGACATCTCCCAACTTTGCAATAATGGGATAGGCAGAGATACGCGCAATGTTCATGACCACCCGCGCTGCGCTCATGGCAGAGTGCTGCTTGAAGGCACTCGTTGTGTATGGGGCATACACCTGAGTTGAATAATCGGCGAAATTGATAGCTAATGTACACAAAAACAGTCTGACCAACTATTAGCAAATGACTCAGCTTGCAACATGTCGGCAGTAACGCACCCGATGAAGACAATAATTAAGCCTGTCTTGGTCCAGCTTTTTCGAAGCACATCAGCCCTATGGACTCCAGGTTGAAGGCTGGGAAGACTGGGTAGCTTTTCGAGGTTTTCCTCCTGGTGAACATTCCCAGCAGCGTGGCTGCTTTGAATGTTTAATGGCTCCATCACAATAGACATGTCCCCTTCTTGCTTGGCCATGGCCACAGGCGATAGACTTAGTGAGAGCACATGCTTTTCTCAGAGAATGGACTCAAAGAGGACTTAAATAAAATTCCTTGCTCTTCGGAAGCAAAAACTTAACCGAATTTTTGCCGCGCTCTATACAACATTGTCTCCAAAGGTAGCATAAACAGTAGAGAGACCTGGAAAAGATTGGAAGACCCAACTTCTTCGCCCCACTCCGACGTCCCTAGAAGAAGTAGGCACGGAGCATGTTAAACCACGAACCTTACCTAGGTATATTAAAAGTGGACTACAAGTGGAAACAAAACTTAATCTTATCAATCATATGCCAGTTAGGAAAAAAGATCCCTAACCCAAAACAGGTAATTGAGACGAGGAACGACGCGTCCCTCTCGTATTCTAAAAATGCCAAGATAGCCAAGGGCGTGCTAATATGTCCACCAGGAGAGAGTGGCCTCACTTTCGGAGTGAGAAACAGAGTCAGGAAAATGGCCTTTGGAACGGAGATTTGTCGATTGGATTTGGTCTCATCCCATTTTACTACCCCCACTTCGCAACCTTGAGGATTTGGGCCTTGTTACCTTCTCATCTAGCTGTGTTTCACCTAACATTGTTAAATGGCTCCGACATAGCACCATTCGGCTATGATTGCCGCATTTGCCGTTCTGTCAAGAATCTCGAGTTTTAGCCTCGGAACAATCCGTTCTGCAAAATAATTGACGTACCAGATACTCTCTTTTCAAACTCACCCACCATCCGAAGCACACAATGAAAGACCAGTGGACATTTGAACAGGCAGACTGTTGTTTCCAAAACATGGCGAGTTGGCTTGTCGCAAACAAGCAGGATGAGAGATATCTTATCCAAGTGTCGTGGCCACTGGAGTGGGAATCGACCGGGGATCAGCCAATCGTGAACAAAGCCAATGCAATGTAAGTGAGGATATCACAGTGGATATACCATCAGCTAACAATTTTCTACCGATCTACAGATATATAGCGGATGGAAATGCTATGATGCTTTCAGCAACGGACATTGTGCGGCGGCGGCGAATGCGTAAACCGGAGGAAACCTCGACAATCATCATTGGAATTTCCTACCCATTGACCCGGTCTGTTTACAGCCCTCGTCGAAGCTATGACCTAACTCCCCCTTGCGATAAATATGACTCTCCAAAAAGCCCGGATGGGAGGCCCAACCCTCAGAAGTTTGGGGGTGCAGATGCTTTCCTTCATTTCATTTCAAACACTGTTCACCATTTTTTATTCTCATCAGTGTTTCCTCACATATCAGTCTGCCAGACTGCTCTGTTCGGGCACTCATTTGGGGCTCTTTTCGCCCTCCATGCGCTCTATACAGCCCCCACAAGCTTCGACGCTTATCTTGCTGCAAGCCCGTCAATTTGGTGGAACGATGGATTCTTATTGCAGGAAGAAGAGCAATTCTACAACAGATCAAAATCACATCACCAGCCCCGAGTTTGGATGGCCTACGGCTCACTTGAGCAGTCTCCCACGCATCAGAAAAATCAGTCATTGGAGGAATATGAAAAACGGTTGGCAATAGCCAAGGAACGCCTAATGGGGGATAATTGCGACCAGATGTTTGTTCGTCTTCTGCAAAGTGGACGGGTACGGTCAGTTGTACGAAGAAAGTACGAAGATGAAGACCATGGCAGCATCGTTGCTGGGGCACTGAGTGGAGCTATCGGCTACTTTCTTGATCAAGGAGATGAAGATTGAAGATCATAGTCAGCAAATTTTATTGGTGTAACTAAAACCTCTTATCCGGATATGGAATTTTTATTCACTCTTCTTTTACTCTTTCCTCGAAGTAGTCACTAGCACCAGAAGAGGATTTTGACGCTGTTCTCCATCGATATAACTAGAGAAACTGGACAAAGTTGAGCCTTCTGCCTCAGGCAGGAATTCCTGCCTAAGGCTATTTATTACTCATCAGTTCCAAAAGAGGTTAGGCTGTACCCTTAAAGGAGGAAAAATCTCAGCAGAAGACTTTTCTTTTCATACCACTCCCGGTGTTTGCACAGAACGGGTTACTATCCTATGGTAGCCTGGTCTTCATTGACGCAGACCTTCACTGGACTTCGTTTGGGAGTGGTAGATAAGATTTCTTGTCACTCTGTATCTGCTGCTCTTGATGGAGACATTTGATGGAAGCGGTTCGTTTTGTAGTGATACATCCATAATCTCATAATTAGGGTGGTACCATGCTTTGCCACTCTGATTTGTAGTTTGTAGAGTCCAAGAGGTTTTTTTGAAGCACCTTGCGACATTTCCAAGACGATGCTGCCCTGGCATGACTTGGGCCCGACGAGCCGAAGGTTGTGCCCGCGACCCACATCGCAAATGGAATCTCAACTCTCCAAATTGGGCAACACCTGTTTTTTCCGGCAGGAGATGCTTAATATGCACGATTCTCCGCCGTAATCCGACGGAACAAGCTGCATCAGGCGACTTTCACTCTTGTGTGCCTGCTTCAACCACCCGAGCCCGAATAATCTTCAGCTCATCCACTGGCTTGTCCTCCGCACCAGTCTTGACCAGTCCCATCCGCTGGATCACTCTCATGCCACTTTTCACTCTGCCGAAAATTGTGTGATTCCCGTCCAGCCAGGGAGTTGGCGCAAGAGTGATGAAGAACTGACTACCGTTGGTATTCGGTCCACTGTTCGCCATACTCAGAATTCCAGCGCCAGTGTGTTTCAGCTCCCCACGAATCTCGTCCTCAAATTTCTCGCCGTAGATGGAGCTGCCTCCTCGACCGGTGCCAGTAGGATCGCCAGTTTGGACCATGAAGTCAGGAATGATGCGATGGAAGATAACATTGTTGTAGTAGCCGCGCTCGGCGAGGGTCGCAAAGTTCTTGCATGTCTGAAGAGAAAAACGTTAGCGATGATCCCTAGAAGCTCTGCAAAAAAAGCTTATACCTTGGGCGCATGAGTGTTGTAGAGCTCCACAGAGAAGGAGCCCTGAAGTAGGTTAGTAAGTGATCTCGATGAGAACAACGAAGCACCAATTACCATAGACGTGTCAAAAGCCACTTCAGACGCCATGCTGAAGATGTAAGTGTAGAATCGTAGGCAAAAGAGCTGAAAAGGCAGAGCTCAGAGTTGCAAGAAGCGGGATCAACCAACTTTGCAGAGGAGCGCAGCGACCATGCAAGTCTTAATCCCCATTTGGGTCAATTTGCCTGGCAGAAAACCAGTACCGCCCCATCTATGGCTACAACATTTGTCACATTCCCAGAATGGAAAACCTACAAGGCCATTATGAATAACGGACAGACACAAAATCCAAAGAGTCACGTCATCTACAGTAATATGGATGCCAGCTACTGGATTAAACCTAGTACATAATTTTGAACTAGTTGGGAACTTACAACATGTAGCAGTACTATCAGCCCTTCAGATCACACTGTCTATGTATGAGACAACCTTGGAAATCGTGTAGATAGGATAGTATCCCCCCCGCTCCTCTTCTATTTCCTATCGACGGATTGTAGGCCTCAAGGCGAGACCCAGTAGCCTGAGTCTGGTTGCTATAGTTTCAGCTTCTGGTAATCCTCAAATTGCACCTGCGCGAGTCCTTCCCCGACATAAACAATCTTCCCACCAACCCACAAGGAGCTTATCAACTTGAGGGCACTCCGTGCGGTTCCGTAAGCGGCCTATTCACATGTACCTATTACAATCACATTTTAATCAAAGCAATTTTTGGCCGACAACATGACAGTGGATTAGCGGGCGAAGAGAAGGGCTGGCTCAATTACTCGATTCGGTTTGGAGTATGGATCCATCCTTTCTAACGCATTCTCGGAATAATGCTGGGGACCATCTCGTTACAAAGGGCAATGGATTTTTGATATGTCTCAAGCGAGGAGATTTAAGGAGGGCAAGTAGAAGATGGGAAAGGGGCAGCCAAGTCAAGTCAGAGTGCTGGGAATCTTCGTAGTGAGTTAATTCAACAATAAGATAGCTGAGAAAAGAGGAAAAAATGCGTGATTAGTTTTCCAAATTTGATAAATGATATAAACCCAACCATCTTGTTTTTTTTTGGTCGTCTGTTCGTTGAGCTTGTGCATCTTCATCTCTAGACGTCCGGCATGTGTCAACCAGTGGGCCAAGCAAATCGCACAATTGTGAGACTAGCCACAAGATGTCAGGAATAGCATAGGGAAGATTAATCATACGGAACTAGGCAGTGGGCATCTTGGAAATTAAAGACATGAACGAGATCAACAGACCGTGTGCAGAGACTAAGCTTCTATAGATGTAAGAAGAAGAAAGCGGTGAGGTGAATTGTGCCGTGGTCACTAAGCTCCTCTGTGCACCAGGAAGCCTCCCACCTTTAGAAGGTTAACAGGTACCTTGAAGAATTTCCCAAACTAACAACTCTTTGTGGCCATCATGGTCTGATTCATTCTTTTTTTTGGTTTATTGGCTTCATTTCACTGTCATCTGTCTTGTGCTCACAGCCTACCATTTTCTGTTCACCATGGCCGACGTCAGCCCTGTTGCAGAGCTTCTTGGACAAGCCCTCTACCATTTCGACCGTCTGAGGCCACTTCTTCCAACCTACGGACACCTGATTGTATCTGCTCTTTTCCCAATTTGGATCGGTGCACATGCATCTTTGACAAGACCTTCCTCGGCCGCTAAACCTCTGAAGAAAAACGCCGACGAGGACAAGAATGAATATGACACGAATGATGAAGATGGACATAGCCCTTTGCAGAAGATGGAAGGGCTTGAGCCATCAGATGCTCTAATGTTCCCATTGACTGCGGGACTCACACTCGGCGGTTTATACTTGGTGATCAAGTGGCTTGAAGATCCAGCCATCTTGAACAAGATCCTTAGTTTCTACTTCTCTCAAATGGGACTCTTCTTTGCCTTTGCATTCCTGAAGGATGTGCTATTGATGATTCGCTCATTTGTCTTTCCTAGATATTATCGTCAAGGTGGACAATTGTGGAAAGTGAAACAGTCCGAGCGCCTTTTTGTGGCGTCTGAGAACCATCCAGCCAAGGCACAGTCCACCCGGCATTCACCTCTCCCTGGGATTTTGGGTCGAGTGCCAATCCCAGGTATGGTATTAGGGCTGCTTTGGAATTACCGAAATGTGTCTTACCAGCGTCTTAGGGTGCGAGCTTATGTACGTGGCTTATTTGACTTGGAATGCCTCGTTGGTCTCCTTGACATCATCAGCGGAATTTCTGCATTGTCTGCTGTAGGGTTTTTTGCGTTTGTGGCAAACCCATGGTGGTTGACCAACTTCCTCGGGTTCTGCTTCTGCTATGGCACCCTGCAATTCATGTCCCCCTCCACATTCTGGACAGGAACTCTCATAATGGGATCCTTGTTTTTCTATGATATTTACTTTGTCTTCTTTACACCATTGATGGTCACTGTTGCAACCAAATTGGATGTACCGATCAAACTCTTGTTTCCTCGCCCGCCCACCTCTCGCGATGCTCCTGGCTCCGTGCCATTGGCCATGCTTGGACTGGGCGACGTTGTTATTCCGGGAATGATGATCGGACTGGCACTTCGCTTCGATCTATTCCTCTATTACCAGCAGAAAGGTGCTCAAATGGCACGTTCTAAAGGGCTCGACCAGGCAATCGTCAAGCCTGAGTATCAGTCGGCAACCGGCGCTTGGGGCGAACGGTTCTGGGCACCCTCAGTCAAGCCACTCCAGCCAGAACTCCAGCCTCCCTATCATGATGCCCGGCGTTTTCCAAAAATTTACTTCAAAGCTAGCATATTCGGTTATATTGTTGGGATGGTTGCCACCCTCCTTGCCATGCAATATTCGAATCATGCCCAGCCAGCTCTTCTCTATCTGGTGCCGGGTGTTCTGATATCGCTTTGGGGTACTGCCCTTATTCGGGGTGAAATTGATACAATGTGGGACTTTTCTGATGCCGAGGAGGTGGAAATTCAAGAGGAAAAAAAGGCAGATGAAGCCGAGGACAAGTCTTCTCAACATCAGAAGAGCCTCTTCATGCGCTTACTTTCCGGTGATTACCTGCGTGCATCAAAAGACGAAAACGCAAAAGGGGAGAAAAATCTCAACGAAGGGAAAATCGATGACTCAAATCCCCAAAAGAAACCATCCGAAGATAGCGGGCGCGTTGCCAAGAGAAAGAAGGCTAAAATGGACCGTGACAGTTTGGACCTGATCTCCATCTCCGTATCAATTCCTCGCAAGTCCAAACATGAAACACAGACTGCTTTGCCGACTACTTCCACAGAGGAAGAGGATGGAGACGTGTCAGTTCCCAGGGATGTCAATGGAGACAACGAGCCACCAATGAAGAGAAGGCGGCGCAGCATGAGGAACAAGAAATCAGCAAACTAGAGATGTGGTTAACTAGGTCTATCAGATGGAAAAAGTTTGCTGAAATCGACTTTTTTTTGGATTTTCAACATGACAGGCAGTCACTGTTTCGATCTACCTCGATGCATGGCTCTATTTCAAAGCAAGATGGCAAGCAATAATTGTAGTGGTATCATTCGTTTGTATTGCATATCGATTTCGATCAGCATTGATCCAGTATGCGCTTCATTTCATCCCATCTCTGAGCAGAAACGTCCACAAGCTGGCGCAAATCATCACTATCCACAGCCCAACCACCATGCTTCTCTATCTTCACAATAACCGTCTTACCACTCTCTTTATCAACAACGACAGAAGCCCGCTCTTGACTTAATCCCTCCTCGTATCCATCTGGATCCGCAAGGATCCACCTTTGCTGTGCACCCTTCTTCCGCTTCTGCTCATCAGCGTCGGGAATGACAACCGCCCTCCAGCCAGCAGCGGCATCACCCTCGAAGGAGCAGAACGAGCTGGCAACAGGCAGACCTCGCAGAGACAACTTTCGCGCATTGGAAACATCGTCTGAGCAAAGGATCGTCTCGTTATCGGCATCCCACCAGGCCTTGGGAAGCTTCGTGTCCCGAAGCGCAGCCAAGACAGAGGCCCAAGCCGCGTCGAATGGGTTTCCAGCCAAAGAAATGATCATGACATCAATGTAAAGCACCCAGAATGCCTTAACTTCTCGCTCAGGACCCTCACTCTGTTCTGTATCCACGTCCATCGCCTCGCCCGCATTGCGGAATTCTTCCGAATCCAGATTCGGTGGCTGATACCAGATGCGCAAATCATCTGCTCGAACGAGACGGCTGGTGTGCAGGAGGGAAAGGATTTGGTGAGAGAGTGCCTGAGCTAGCGCAGAAGGTGGTGCACCAGGTGTAAAGCCTGGCGCGCAGCCGGTGCTGAGGGAAAGGTTGGGAACAAGTAGGTTCAGATCTTGGATGTGGCCTTGATCTTCTTCATCTTGGGACTCTGAGGCTCCCACATCATTTGACTTGTCGAGTGTTTTCTCTGATGAGGCCTGCAACACGCTCCAGGAAGCAATGTCCTTGGTGTCTAGGATCTCTGCACGAACGCCGCAGACAGCGGCTGTGTCTCCGATTCGTACAACTGCGCTGCCATTTGTGTGAGTTAGAGAGCCGGCATTGGCAGATGTGACACGGAATTGTGAGGCGGTACGACCGTTCGCACGGATTGAGGGCTGGTTGCTCGCTGGTGGAGGAGAGAGGTGGGCGAGAAGGTAGGCGTGAGGTTGGAGGCGGGCGAACTGAGACGGTGGTAGGGATAATGACGGAGGAGTCGGGTTACTGGTTGTAGCGGAGGACACCATGATTAACGAGAATGTCTCTACTTTTGTTCAAGACTAAATGTAGAATTGATTGAAGATGCAGAAAAAGCCGACAAGCATGAGGTGGCAGAATAATTTCATGTCGAAGGCGGTCGATGCTGTCACTGATGCCCCAGGCACAAACGAGAATTTATCTGCCAAGACTTTCACGGCCTTGTGCACCGAGTACAACAGACATCACACATCTCATAGCCCTTGAGAAACGAAGTTTCCCATGTACTCTTCCCGAGGAAAATTACACATTCCTGTATAATAGGTTATCTCATATTCCAGGGCTGAAAATGACACGACAGTTGTCTGCTGTATACACGGGACAACGTTGCGCAGGAACTGACGAAGGACCTCGGATCCAAAGTCGAAACAACTCTCTTTAAAGATGTTGAAATGAAGGTTCCGCTTATTGTCTAGTTATTTATTCTACTTTCTCCATGTAAAGGTCATTGCCAAGGGAACTACCATTTTCCATAGATTGCTATTCGCTTCAGCTAGTAGACCCCCATGCATATACTTCGTATAGACAGCTTCTTCGACCTCTTCCGGCATTCACTGTAGTCTCCACGACGAAAGATTGTCACCAGACACCACGGGAATGTATGAATCCAATTTTCTAACAACCTGGCAAGACCTGTTAACCAGTGCGAGCTCACTAGGGGCGGGAGAGCATAAATGCGCTCGAAATCAGTTCCATACCTCTACAATAAAAACAATCGAGTACTCTTTAGAGTGAGTATGTCACAAGACTATGAAGTGTTACAACAGTAAGCTGCATGATCGGGAAGTCTATAACTTTCCTAAAACATGCTGCCATCCACTATGATTGTCGGGACTACACACCACCGGGAGGACCAGCCTTTGCATAATTCATATACTCAAAGCCATCTACAGTGCCTGCGCCGACCTGAATATCATAGCTAACTGCATCACGAGCAATGGTGTGATCATTTCAGAACGCCCTCTACAAATAGAGCTCGTGCGACGAATCAACGGTAAAAAGCCACTTCGATTCTCAATTCTAAAACAGCACGTTCGGGGTAACCACCCAAGAAAAATCTGATATGTCAACATCAAGCCTCGGTAGCCACCAATTCCAAGGTCTTGGATAAAAATGCGGAGATATTGGCCACTCCAAGAACGTCAAAATAACGACACATCCACCTAGACAAATTTTGAAAACCACTTACGGGGCTCCAAAGCAACAATGGAATCTAAACCGTACGCGAAGAGAGAATTCCTGAGCGTGATGGATTCGGTGGCAATTCCCAAGACGGCTGAAATCTTCTCCACAAAGCCTTCAATCAGGATGGTGCTTCTCTCTTCGGCGTTGTGGGTGAACCGAACGTACGCAGCCAGGTCCTCTTCAACATTATCAAAAGCACCATTTCCAAAGTAGTTGTTACTGTAAAGGTTGTGGAAGAGTGGGCATTGAGACCAGAAGACATCCTGGGACATCTCAAGGCCGGTGATGGTGCTGGTCTGGTCGATACCGAGTGCAGATAACGACTTTGATCACCTCCTCTTGATCTGATGCAGGAATTTCTGCTTGATAATGGGATCAAAGACCATTCGCTCCGTATTCTGTTGAAGAGTAGTGAGGGAGATGATATTCAGTCTACAAATGAAGCTGTAGATGAAACTGGAGATCTCTGGATGCGTTATAGAAGAGAGAAGCTATCTACAGGTTTAGCTAGACTAAGTAGTAGGAGCAAACAAAGAAGTCATGTGACTTCTAACAAGTAGCTTTTTGACTGACGAGATCGATGCCAGATATCATTGTTGGACAACAAACGCCGCGTGGGAAACTCCATACAGGCATAGGCGACGGCAGCCCGGCCAGCTCACAAGGACTCTGGGCCATGTGTGAATCCTAGCACACCGGCATTAGAGTATCTTAGGGATCCACGGCAAAATTCCTTCCCAAACCCGCCATCTACACCAGCTGCGTCAGCTGGCCGGCAACGGGCTAGATATGGATTCATCAGGTAGTAGAATCTGCCTTTGTCTTCGAAAAGTGAGGCGCTGCGCACAATACAAGAAGCCAAATCCAGCGGGTTTCATAAGGATATCTTCAATGTGACCTATCTAACTGTCATGATCCACACACTTTTCCCCCCTGGACCATCCGAAAGCCTGACGCTAAGTGAAGACGTTCTGGGGGACTTTCTCACTGAGGCTGGCTCCTTCTTAAACACCGTTACTACTTCTACCAGACGTCACTCTTTACTTAAGGCCGAAGCTGCCGGAATTTTCTCCACTGCTGCTGAGATTTTCGCTTTGAGCTTGGGGGTGTCCGTCCGAGCGATGCAGTACATCAGTCCGCGCCAATTGACTGGCTCCAATCCCGAGCGAGACCTGACAACCAGAAACAGTGCTAGCTTAGCGGAACTGCTGATTCAAGTGCACCGGATAGTTGGGATGATCACGATCTTACTCTCTATTCTCAGTTTTCTCTTCCGCTCGAGTCATGGGGGCAATAAGATACAAATACTAGACTCTGAAAGCAGGCTCTGTATCGTCCTGCATACATACCCAGACCTGCTGCCAAATTTGCCCGTAATGTCCCCAAACAGCTGAAAGCATCGTCGTGGTGCATCTTACGGTTAGTTTTCTTGTCTGTGAAAATTCCAATTTTTATCACTTTTGTTACTTAGGGATCCATGCACAGATCTACAAATTCTATGCATTCGAAGCTAGACAGATTTCTAGCAGTTTTACGCGCAGGTTGATTTAAACCAAATCTTTTAATTTGTCTAAAGTAACCTAACATCGACGATGAATATGATTTCACACCTACCCGCCGCCGAATTTGACTTCTCGAATTAACGCCGAATTGAAGAATCAGGAGTCTGTCTAGTTTGAGATAGCGGGTTACACACTGTCTGCGATACCTAATATCCTCACAGGTCATTCTACAGAATTACATAAAGAGCACTTAGCTATCCAAATCCCAAGTAGGCAGTTGTAAGTTTGGAAATTTGGGTGCTTTTATAATCTATTGAGTCACGAAGAGCCGAAAGTTCTGAACATTCTAACAAAAGCAGCATCTCTATTGATCAAGAACTCGTACCAAGAAACATTACCTTTGTGATGTGAGCTATTTGGATAAGCTTGGAGCCTTGGAACAGCCAAGCAATTGCCTTACAGTACCTTGGCTTTTGACACAGACTTGAATGTGCAAGAATTTCAACCTTGTGTTGGGGACAAGTCAAAGAGTCTCCAACGGGTACTTTCCGAATGGCCAGTGAGTGCTCCGTCCACTGCATCGAAGTGTTCATTTCTTCGAGGCCTGGCCAAGCATGCGTGGTCCAGCGATCATCATTGGCGAATCAGCTAGTGTTTAGGGAAAGCCCCGCGAGATTTTGGCCTGTGATAAATTAATCAAAACTGTGTACGAGCATCAGTCAATGCCTGACCACTTCCAATTCTGGCGGCAAGCACATCTGGGGGTTTGTTTACATGACTAGTTTGGCCTGGAGGCCAATTCAATTCCTGGGTGGTGTTGAGATAACATGTAGCGGACGAGTGGGGATATCAGGTAGATCCTTTCCAGAAGCTGCTTCACGCATAGTTCTTCACCACGTGGTAGGACAAAAACCAAAAAAGAAAAGCCGTCAGTGAAACACTGCTACGTTGAACATTTGTTGGTTTTTGATCATCAACACCAATCGGGAACTGCTGGCTGGTGAAGGAGTCGAAAAGATACTAACCTGGAAAATTGACGGTTAGTAAACTTATGAGTGAGTTTCATGAGACCTGGAGAAAAAGATACTCATCTTTGAGCCTATTGATGTAGATTTTCTGTGTGACGACTCTTATGATCTTCCACGACGGCTCAGTTCCAAATGAGCACGAGATCCCGAGTGCAGGCACTGATGCTACTAACGCATTTTTCATTCCATCGCTGACGATTTGGACAGGCATGCTTGCAGTGACTATGATTCCCTAGATCGTTGCATTCAGCACTCAAGCAATTATTATCACCATGATGACTGGCTTTGGTCCCGAGCGGCTGAATGGGCTGCACCGCTGGTCAGCCTATATCTATCTCTTCCTCAGTCTGGCTCGCATGATCCCGTTTCACATCCCTCCAATCTGGAAAGACGGCGCTTTGGTCAACTCAGAATGACGGTCTTTTTGCATGCGAGAACTATAACACTCCAAGTGGCATTGCTATTGTCTATTGATTCGAAACCCCTGGCGTTTTAGATATAGTAATTTTATGCCCGCTCCTCTAATGCTCAACTTCCGTACATAGGGGCATAGACGGCGAGAGATCATCTCTTCCATTCAAATATTATATCACCATGTATGCAGGAGAACTCAGCACACGTACTATTCAATATCAGATGCATAAACAAATGTAAAGGGTATCCAAAGTTTATCAGAAAGCCACACATGCAACGCACATCTCACTCGACCTGAGGTTTGTGATTGTCATCTTCTGCCTTGCGCTTACGCGAAGGTGTATCCTGCTTTTCAAGGACTTGCGACTCATTCAAATGCTGTACCCCATGGTCATCTTCTTCGCCATCCTCCACCTCCACCTTCTCCCAGTCCTCGTCTTCTGCTTCACCAGGAAAAGCCGTAGCCTGTACATTGATTTCGGTCCGAGAATGTGCTTCATCCTCTTCATTCCACTTCAAATCTAGTCGTACGATCTTCGCGCCCGACGGCTTCAGTCGCCGGTAGTATTCGGCTACATCACCGTCGACTCTAAATCCCCGTGCAATATACCATTCCAACCCCTCTTCGTTTGACTCATGAACATGTGCTGTAACAGAGCAGATGTTATAGTGCCTGACAAGCTCGGACACCCGATATGAGTCTTGGCCCTTGCGGTCTGGCGGCGACACAAAGAGAAGTGAATTTAACAGTGATGCTGCCACACCACTGCCCCGGTATGGCGAGAGAAGATGTAGGGTCTGAATATAGAGATTTGTGTGGCATTGGTTCCCTTGTGTTGCATTCTCTTTCTTTGAGTTCTCTTCCTGTCGGATTCGCTCTAGCCGACACCGAATGCCCCCGATGACTTTGTCCGTCCCGGCAGATGCGCCAGATCCTGGGACTGCAGCAACGGGGTGGTCATGGTAAATCGCAACCCGCGAAAGAGAAGCAATTACCGGATCAGTTATGATAGCTGTGTAGAACGAGTTTGGGTAGCGGATAGGAAGGAGTAAGCCCGTGATCCGCGTCAAGGAAGGGATATGCGCCGTATTGACTTTCTCGACTGTTATATGGGGGTGTGGAGTCGCGAAACCAGCTGGAATATCACGGGGATAAGGGGAGAATATCTCTTCTTTCGAGCGTTTCGGGCCAAAAGTGTTTGCGACGGCTGATTGAGGTGGCTGGACTGCAGGAGGGTGGATAGGGGGCCGCACAGGGTGGTGGTTGGTCGGCGAAGGAGACAACGAAGAGGAAGAAGTCGCTGGCCTTGGCTGATTCTTTGCAAACAGCTGGTTTGCCATCTCGTAACAAATTCAATGGTCGTTTGGGAGAGAACAAGCAGTGAGGCACCTGGGACCTACTGCGGAGATGCGATAAGATAAGCCCAGTGAACAACTTGCTCCAGCCTCATCCGTCTCTTCATCTCCCCGAGTGAGATTTGATTCGTATGCAAATAGACACCTCAATAGGTCAGTGCCCTACTTCCGGTCGATGCTTACTTTCTATTGTATGCGTCGATAGAATACCTTCATTGATCACATTGTCTCCCCCTATCATTGCTGGCTATTAATTCTGCCTTCGCCCCCCCCCCCCAAATTATTGAAGCTCACTGACAATTGGTCTTACATTAGGCTATACAATTCAGCCCTTCCTATTGTCTTCTTTCTTCCATTCCTTTTGGCTTCTATGTTTTGGAATTCTATCTTCTTCTTCTCTCCTACACCCGTGCACCCATTGCGTCAACCCTGCATAGATTTCCAGTACATGGAGAACTAAACCTCGGACCTAGCGGTTCGGAGCACTTACTACCTGTGTCGCGGGCAGACACAGCCGTCGGTCAATCAGGACCGGACGAGAAATATTCGGCGCATCCATCTCCGGCCGCAATTCGAAAATGGCCGACTCCAACAGCAGCGGTGGTCGCAGGCCGACCTATCCTGCAGGAACAATCGCCAAAGTGGTATGATAGCCCCAAGCGGACTTCACGGGTGGTGCATCTCGGGTTCTAACGACTTCGTATCTAGGCTACCGACATCCTAAACGAAACATTCCAGAACATCATCCACGACCTTGTGGCCAAAGTTCACCGTGAAGAGAAGGTGGCGCGCATGCGGTCCGCGGTGGTTCTCGCCCGACAGAAGGCGGAGGAAGATGCAGTCATGCCGGAGGAAGCACCCAGCAAGACCTCGACCGATACAAAGAGAGAAATCATTCTCGACACCAAGAAGCTTGCAGGTATGCGCATGGAGACGGATGCAGCCGTTTTCAACCGCGGAAAGGTCTTCCTCAAGGGCAATCCGATGAAAACCGTGAAGGAGCATGTGTGCCCAGATTGCCGCCTCCCAAAACTCATGTACCCAACCACGGGGGCTAATTCTTGCCCCCCTCCCGATCCCGACGCGGATTACTGTACAAATGTGCCCATGATCGACTTGGCCGGTCATGATGTCCACGGCAAGCTCTTTGCAGTCATGCCGAACCCCAAGAAAAAGAAGGGTGATCGAGACAGCACTATCCCTGAAATACCAACTACCAAGTGCCCTATCTGCCCGCGCTACTTTGTCATGACTCGTCTCGCCCAACACCTTGAACGCTGCGTCTACGGTGGTCGCAACGGCGGCCGCAACAAGACTCCCACAGACAGCGGAGCTAGCAATGGCAATAGTCCCAGCTCATCAGCACCCAAGCGTCCTTATGCAGATGATGACGATGAAAGTCCCAGCCCCACCAAAAAGAAGAAACTGAATGGACCCAAGAAGGGCTCCACCACAAAGCCTGGTCCCAGCAAACTGAAACAATCATTTACGGTCGAGGACAACGACGACGACATCAAGAGCGAGAACGCCGACTAAACTTTCATTTGTTTTCCCATACCCTTTTTTTTCCTATCATGGTGTCTGCGGCGTTTGAGCTTTGTTTTGATGGACTGGTTATGTTCCACGGCGTATCTGGGTCCGGTTTGGTCTGGTCATGGTTTGACCTTTCCTTCGAATAAATCTGCATAGATGAATGATGACAAGGGGACGGGCTTTGTAGGATGTAAATTACTTGACAACATGAAATACAACTGACACAAGCACTGCAAGAAACATGCAACTGATCAGTGCTAATGTCAACATTTTCTTTGTTTTTCAAAACTTGAAACCCATCACCCAAAGCCCAAAAGTCTGCACAGTATCCAGTTTAACATCAGCACTACAAACTGTCCACACTCCGAACCCCCCTGGAGTCTCAATCTGTGACCGTACACGACAACACTCATTCCTTACGGGCCATCTTTGGCAATTAACATGGCATTTGAACAGGCTGAAGCTGAAATTTAGGTGGCACTACTGCCGGTTAGCCACAATGGACTTTAACCACGAGTGAAAAATGTGATTATAGTAAAGATCATTTCTCAAATGTGCTTTTTGTTTCTTGTCTTGAATATTTCCCAACTTCTGGCATCCTTTGTAGTCAATACTAGCTCCCTTTTTAACCATAACCCCCTTTAGAACTCATCCTGGGTTAGCTCAGCTAGCCATGCCCGTACCGGTTTGTTTCTGTTCATTAGAATCCCTCTTTGTCTCTTCCCAATGCCACCTAGGCCAAAGCAACTTTCTTGGAAAGAGATTGTTCAGAATTAGTCCTTGGAGACTCATGAAATCAAGAAGAGAAGAATCACACAAAGAGAAACTTCAACAAGCATTACTAGGTCTACCCTTACGTGTATATAAAGATTCAAGAACAATGGCAATAACAAGGCAGTAAACGAAAAGAGTAGCCCTTGGTGCTCCCGTTTGAACCCTAACGCGCTCAGTTAACTGAACTAATATGTGCTGATACCCGAGTTCAATCAGGGAAAACAGATCCATTGACATGGAAGATTTGTCTATTGGGCCAAGAAATAGTGAGATTGACTCTGGCTTTTGGAGACTTGGCGCCTACGTAGGCCTGGGCTGGGACTGTGCTTAATAAGTGCGGGGATCCGCGGGCATCTCATCTGTCACTCACCAACCACGCCGAAAGATTTTCTAAGATGGCCGATCTTAGCGCATGGGCAGCTCCTCGTCTCTCCCAGCTTCTCCCGCTGGACCCAGATTCTCTCTCTCAGGTCATCGACTATGCTGTCAGCCTCTCAAGGGAGGCATGTGCCGATCATCTCAAAAACCTCCTCGGCGACTCCCCGGCCGCCTTAGAATTCATATCCTCGTTTAACTCACGCCGAGAACCCCAGCGACCACCTCAGAACCCTTCCACCCAAAGCAGAGATGCATCGAGATCAAATGGAGGAGCCAAGAAGGGCAAAAAGAAGGCTCCGCTGCATACTGCTGGCCCACCACGTCGACCCGACAACTACGGCGACGTAGGAGGTGGCTACAAGAAAGCAGATGAAGAAGACTATATGGCTTCTCGAAGACCACCTGCTCACACCCTTGTACCGTCACAGCATGGGTCCTCAGCCGCGTCGCGCATTCCCTCCCCCTTACCCGTATCATCCCCGAAGCCACCCCCATCTGCGAGTGGCCCTACAATCTCGGACATGTTACCAAATGTGCGATCGAAAGTTAGCAAATCAACACGTCAAGGTGGAGGGGCGGGATCGTCTTCCAAGGGAAACAAAGCTCTCACAACCAACGACATATCCGACCTCACCGCCGCTATCGCTGCACTAGAGGTATCGACGAATCCGAGCCTGGGGGAGAGACGCAGTTGTACTTGCTCCGGGTCAGTACACCCGGTTTTTGATCCGGCACCTAATTGCCTCAGCTGTGGGAAAATCATCTGCTCGCTCGAGGGTCTACAGCCGTGCTCATTCTGCGGCACACCGCTCCTCTCCGCCGAAGAAGTGCAAGGTATGATTCGGGAGTTACGGGCGGAGCGTGGACAAGAGAAGATGCGCGTACACAATGAAGGTGTTCATCATGACGGGGGTCCTAGGCCTGCTGTTGGCTCCGAGCCTTCCAGCAAACTGGATGCCGCGAAAGCGCACAGGGATAAGCTGCTCCAGTTCCAAGCGCAAAATGCACGCCGGACTAAGGTTGTCGATGAAACAGCAGATTTTGAGACTCCGAATGTCGCCTCCACATTGTGGATGACACCTACACAACGAGCACTGGCGCTCAAGAAGCAGCAGCGCATTCAGCGCGAGATGGATGAGAAGGCTCGTCCTGAGTGGGAGAGGAAGAAGACTGTGATGAGTCTTGATATCAAAGGTGGTAAGGTTCGCCGAGTCTATCATTCAGCACCGGCAGAATCAACCCCAGCGGCCAGTGAGCCTGACACTGTCGATGAAGGAGGTGCGGAAGACAGCCCGCAAGGACAACATGCCTTCAGTCGCAACCCCCTTCTCGCATCTGGTGGTCTTATGCGACCTGTTTGGCGTGCCCCCGAGATAAAGCAGGCTGAAGCAGTGGAACAAACTGAACGAAAACAGACTTGGCGTCGTGTGCAAGATGACAACGACGACAATGAGCAGTGGATTTTGGATGGAGGAATCCATGGATACTCCACTTAAACATAACCATAGATGGATTTGACTGCAAGATTCAAAGCGCGAGCCCCCCAAAGAAACACCATTTCGAGCCATCTACCCTGGATCGACCACCTCGGGAGGCACTCTGTAGAGGTTGTCACCGGCTTCATCGCCAATCTCAGTGTTACAGGAAAGCTTGGTGTGAAAACTGCGTTTTGCTCTGTATCCCTGTAGCCGGCGGATTCCTCGGTCCTGAAAAGGGCGAGATCTTCGGAGCGAATGTCTGATCATCCGCTGTGAATCGGTTAACAGCGGTGGTAGTATCACACTTCCCAGGAGAAACCGAGCCAATGGAGTCAATAGAGGGGATTATCTGCTCGCAGAGGATACTACTATATGACCGAACTAGTGAATGACAGCAGTCTACTAAGAATGGAAAGGCCAACCCCCACTGGAATCCCGAATCCCCACACAGATACCAGACATGAAGCGGGCTTCCCCGTGGATACCCCAATATCGACAGGGTGTGGGATATATATATATTTAGTATGACCCGTCACTGGCACTGCAAATTACCATCCAAAATAACCGCCCATAACCGAATCAAGTAAATCCCTATCTATTACAGAAATCAGCAACTGTTAATTGGAGCTCTAGTGCTCCCCCCCCCCCAAAGCCGACCTGTTTTGTAGTACGGATCTGTCGTCATTGACCATGAGCTTCGGTTGGGGGCGGATATCAGCGGTAGCTGGAGTATAAAGGAACTTTGGAACTCACGAAAAGTACACGTATTGAGCCAATTCACGGTTGTTTTCTTCATGATCATCTCACAGAATGCTCGTTGAATCTGTGCTGGTGTGCCTCTCTTTAAAGAGGGTTCTGGGAGGCTTGGTAGGGCTGTTAGCAGCAGCGGTACGCAGATCCCATTCTCCATCACGCACTTCCATGAAGTGTCGTGTCCTATGAGTTAGAATAATCTAACTCACTTTAGACCCTCACCAATATCCTCTACAATCGTTTCATTCACCCGCTTCACCGTATCAACGGCCCCCTCCTCGCATCTATCACACCCTGGGTCCAGCTCTACCATGGCCTGAAGGGTGACCGCCATCTCTGGCTGCATAAGTTGCATGGTCAGTACGGGACACACGTGCGTGTTGCGCCTAATTTTGTCTCTGTCAACTCGGACTGTGGATTGCACGATATTTATGGGCACGGAAAACACCTTCAGAAGGCCACATTTTACAATGCTTTCCCTGCTATCAAGGGCGTATATAACACGCACAACGCTATTGATAAAACCATGCATGGTCGAAAAAGAAGAGTGCTTAGCCAGGCATTCTCAGATAATGCTCTTAAGGGTATGGAGGATGTGATGCTCCTCCATGTGCGTCAGCTGTGTGCCGTACTAGCTGGGTATGATGGGGATTTTGAATCGAATGAGCAAAAGGGCAACGTCAAGAACATGGGTGACTGGTTTAGTTATCTCTCGTATGATGTTATGGGCGAGCTCTGCTTCGGGAAGAGCTTTGATATGCTTATTTCTGAGACTCAAAGGTATAAAGTTGGGTTAGTGGATCGTGCTGCGAACAGGCACTATGTGGTCAGCATTGCTTTTTCCCTCCTCCAGATTTAGGAATGCTTTTCTCTGATTATGCCATAGTGTGGACTTTGGATGCCTCTGGACACATGGGGTCTAGACCAGATCTTCATCCGCAGGCTAACGCGTGACCGATGGACCTTCATTATGAATTCGCGGGTTGAGGCCAACGAGCGCGCCAAGGAGCGTGCCCGAATTGGTCGGGACGCCAAGAAGGACTTCTTTCACTACCTGTTGAACGCAAAGGATCCGGAGACTGGCAATGGACTCAGCACTCCCGAGCTTTGGGGCGAGTCCAACGTCCTCATGATTGCGGGCAGCGATACAACCTCGACTACACTGGCAGCCACACTCTTCTACCTAGTTCGGAGACCGGATGCACTGGCCAAGCTATGCGCCGAAGTTCGTGGTGCCTTTAGTGAAGTCGAAGAGATCATTACCAGTAGCCAGCTGGGCGAACTGGTGTATCTCAAAGCATGTATTGACGAGGCGTTGCGTCTGGCCCCAGCCGTGCCCGGTGCGATTCCCCGGGAAGTGATGGAAGGCGGCGCGGTTGTTGACGGCGTCTTCTTACCCGCCGGCACAGACTGCGGCACACCAACGTACTCCATCCACCGTCAAGAGCGGTACTACCGGGAAGCAGGGACCTATATGCCGGAGCGCTGGATTGAGGACGCCACCTGCACGGTCTCTGGAGTGTCCTGGCAGACGACTAAGGAGAGCATGGAGGCTGCGCGGCACGCATTTTGTCCGTTTAGCATTGGACCCCGTGGATGTATTGGTAAGAGCATGGCTTTTATGGAGATGCGGCTGACACTGGCGCGGCTGGTGTTCCTCTTTGACATGTCATTGGCGGATCGTCAGGGCGAGGACGCGGGACATCTGGCGCTGACGGATCATTTTACCTCCGCCAAGAATGGACCAAATGTTGTCTTCCGACGAAGATAATTTAAGGTGGTAGAATTGGTTTTGGGAAGGCAATTAATCCGTCTCAAAGCGATCATATAGAAGTTGGAATAAAACAAAAAAAAAGTTGAAACATCCAAGTGTCGCTTAATCTTTTTCAGCCTTAGCCGCCCCCTACCATCTCAACTTCTCAGGACACGGTTGCACGCGGCAACCCTTCTCGATCATTTCATTTGTGTACAGTTGAAGGTTGATATTTACATGGATCGTACTGAAGGGGCTACTCCATCATGACCTCGCCCCTGATTGTGACGTTCGTGCAGGCGACCGTTTTGAACGCCGTCTCCAACATCCTCGCGCAGCTGATTGATCAGCGCAACAACAAAGTAAGAACTTCTATCAAAGAAGTTCTATGCTCAAAGATGATAGGATTAACCAATTGCTAGGCTCCATTTACTCTAAACACAGTGGCTCTCCTCCAATTTCTGGGCTATGGCATCTTAATTGTGGCCCCCAATTTCTACTGGCAACGCGCTCTGGAAGCGCGTTATCCAGGAGTTCCTTCGCGTTCCGAGCTCTCTGATGCATTCAGTGTCCAATCGCTGAAATCAATCTTTTCACCCCGCTCATGGCTTTCCCTCTTTTCAAGGTCTCACCAGGATGATTCACTCCCTAGCCACAAGGAGAAAGAAAAGCATGTCCAACGGCCGCAGATATCCGGGCTGCGTAGCTTCTTCATGAAATTCTTCTATGATCAAACCGCAGCCTCGATCGTGAATCTTGTGTTATTTGTGATTGTCATCAATCTGCTGAAGGGAGAGACTCTGGCAAAATCGTGGGAGTTGGTTGTTTTGGTAGGTGACTCTACTGTTGAATAAACAGTGTTGATTACACAGATGCTGACTTCTGTAGGATTTCCGGCCTCTTATGATTGCCCGTCTGAAGTATCGGCCAGTTGTTTCAGTCTTAATGTACACAGTCATTCCTGTAGATCGACGAGTGGTCTTCGCAAGTGCATGTGGTGTGATCTGGGGTGTTTATTTGAGCTTATATGCGGGGGTTTAGGTGTTGTCTGATCATTTCGCTTCTTTGGTGCTAGTTGAGCGTTGCTTTATTCAATGAAAGTGGTACAATAACATGTCAAACGGGTCTATCTATTGAGGGCCAAATCATAACCCCGATTCAACGTTGGAAAGTCAGTCGAGAATTTTACTGGGCCATCTGCCCATCTATCGATTGGTTATGATAATGTTTGCACCACCCTCTATCCCCCGTGGTAAAGCGATCACTAGATATTCTAATGTCGATGAGTGTATCCGATGATCCTTAGACCATGAGCAACGGAAGCAGCAACAAACAACAAGCTAAATGATCTCGACTTCAAAACGACTGGATCATGTCAAACAGATGTGTGATCATCTTCATCTCACGTCTGATACTCACAGTGTGTTTGATAAACCGATTGTGAACAACATCTGTCCGGCGATCATCGCGACCAAGCCGACAAGAAACAAAGCAGCCTTGTCCAAGCCGCAAAATAGAGGAGGCAGCATAGGACGCTGTGGTCCGATTCTCCGTGGCTAGATCCAATCAAGAGAGGAAGGAATGCCACTACCATTTCACAAACCACGGGATTATGCATGAACGGAATATTCCCTGACACCTTTCGGTCTAGGCCTCTCGAGTGAGATGGAAACAGGGCTCTCTTTCAGTTTAGAAACGAAACGCATTCAGGCGAAAGAAGAAATCCATCGCACAAAAGCAATGATACTATTTGGGGGGGGGGCTATAGCCAAGATTAATATACGCCCTAAATATCATAGACAATAGAAAGGTGGGCATATGGCTCAGTACAATGTTCCACAGACCATCCTATAAGGAACGGAAACAAGAGAAGAGAAGGGTGCGAATATTAAGAATGTGCACGAAAAGGCTGCAGCAGTCGGTAATTAAGCCTCAAATAGGGGTGACCTCGATCTTCTTGCCCTTGACAGACAACCATTCAATGAAGATGGGTCCAATGAGCGACAACGCGCCCATGGCAACAGCAACGTAGAACGTATGCACGACAGCAGCATTATAGGCAGTCAGGACACGGTGTAGAGCATCGCCACTAACCACAGTACGGAGCATCGTAGCGCCGGCAGAGATAAGCTTCGCAGCGTCCTGATCAGGCGCATACTGAGCCAAGTTCTTGATGAGCTGGTTCTGGAACACGTTCTGCCCGACCGAGACGAAGATAGCGCCACCAAGAGTCTGAGCGAACATGACGATGGCTGTGCCACTGGGGATATCTTCTGGCTTAAGGGCGGTCTGAGCGACGATCATAGGCTGCTGCATACCAAGACCCAGCCCGATACCAAAGAGCGCCTGATACCCGATCCACTTGGAGTGGTTTGAATCTGTCTCCAAGGTTGACAGTAGCCCTGCGCCGATAGTCATGATGACGGACGAGGCGATCATGAAGGGGGTGTAGTATCCGCAGATGGTGACGAGTCCACCGGACAGGATAGATATAACCACAACCGAGAGGATCGTGGGCAGGTTCATGATGCCGGATTTCAAGGCGGTTGCCCCCTTAATCGATTGGAACCAGATAGGAAGCTAAGAGTGTTAGAGCGTTGCTTAGACCTAGTGGGAACAGGCAAAACAATCAAATGGAAAGGGTGGCTCACATAAAATGTCAGGACAAAGAAAGCAGCGCCAATAGCAAGTGCATACCATGCCGAGCCCCAAATGTTACGGTTCTTGATCAGACGCGGCGGGACGGTGGCGCGGTCCCCGGCCCAGATCTCGACGCCAATAAAAATGAGACCGAGGACGCCAAACACCACAAAAAGGCCGATGATGCGCCCACTACCCCACGCATACTTGGTGCCACCCCATTGCATCGCGAGCAACAAGCTGATGATAGCGGGCAGGAAAAAGAGGGAGCCGATCAGGTCCAGCTCCTTGATCTGTTCCTTCAAGGTGTTCTTCTTCAGAATGGCCTTTGGGCTTTGGAAGAAGAAAAGCACGAAAAGGAAAGTCACTCCTCCGAGAGGCAAGTTAATGTAGAAACACCAACGCCAAGTGAGGTGGTCGGTGAATGCGCCCCCCATGCTGTCGGAGGTTAGCACCACTCGGCAATCAAGAACCAGGAGCAACGTACAGAGGACCGGCGACATTGGCGATACCAAACATGGCGCCAACGAGACCCGTATACATAGGTCGCTTGACCAGGGGTACACTCTTGCTGATGATGAGGATAGAGCCCGAGAAAAGACCAGCCGCCCCGAGTCCAGCGATAGCTCGGCCACAGATGAGGCCGACAGAGGTGGGGGTGACAGCGCAGACGAGCGACCCGACCTCGAAAATGAAGAGTGCGATGAGATATATCCATTTGATCGAGTAGAATGTGTAGAGCTTGCCGAACATCAGGGACACGGCACACGTCGTCAGGAGGTATGAACTGCCGTACCAACCGACATCGTCGAGCGAGTTGAATTGATCGGTGATTTTGGGAATTGCTGTTGCAATAATTGTATTGTCCTGGAGATCCGTGTTAACTTGAAATCCTCAAGTAAATCAACCTTTCAGCGCATACCAATGCCACACAGAACACGCAAAGACAGAGAGCAATACTGATCAAAGTCAATCTCCATGCGTTGGGAAATCCATCCTCGTCCTCCGGCGTTTGAGTGTCCCCATCCTCTTTTCTGTCTTCTTGTGTTGGCTGCTTATTGAGCGGTTCACTGGGGACCAACTCCCTATTGGAGTCGTTGAGAACAGGCGTTGGCGTGTTACGACTGACAAGTTCTTTCTCGAAGTCAGTATTGAGAGTTAAATTTCTCATCAAAGGCTCATCGACTAGAGTACTCTCATTTTCACTGGAGGGCTTCGAAGTCTGAGCTCCAGACTGGGAAAAGGTATCGTTATCGGGTGCCACGTTTTTATGCTCAGTATTGTCTGCAGATACTTCGGCCCCCCTTGGAGATTTGGTATTGAAGGCATCGAGGTAGCCCATAATGAATGAAGCCAAAAAAAAAAAATACAACCAACAGTATTAAAAAGTCAAAGTGAAAGCCCGGAATGAGATTTAAAAGAAAGTTGGGATGAGCAGGAAGAGGAAGTTCAAGAGAGTTAAAAAGAAAAACCAGGAGATGCCAGCCAAGATGGTCATTGGAAACTCAACCTGTTCGTACAGGTCTCATCGAGAACCTTGCCTAAGGGTTTCTTGGGGGAAAAGAGCCAGTTCAGGTTGCACGGAACCCTGCAATCGTATCTCAGGAGTCCATGTACATACGATCATTCAAGCTGCATATTCTGCAGAACTTTCTTTTCTTTTGTGGTTAGGCAGCGAGCTCGAATTCTGGAATGAACTAGTCTATTAGTATGAGTTCGTCAGCGACAATTCACGATGTGGTTGTGTAACTATAGTTGCAGTCTCAATCATCGTGAGTCGTTAGAAACGAGGTTCTTTCTCCTCCGACAATATCTGAGTCAAACGCTTGACCGCGAGATGTTGAGGTTTGACCAGGGGCTGCAGTCAGGAGAATGCAAGGATCAGGGTGATCCATTATTCAATTCGTGCATGAACATCAACAAGATTTGGTTGCTCGCCAATCAGCAGGGGGATGTGAATAGTACATTACCCCCTTGCTCAGGCATCCAAGAGAAATAGTTAGCGTTCCTGCAACGGATTACGTGAACACTACTGAAGCATGGGAAAACAAGAAATGGAATCCGAACGAACAAAATCGCAAATAGAGAGGTCAAGGCACTCGACGAAAGAATTCCAATTCGGACTTTGGCCAAAGGATCGACAGCTGACATGGGATCTAACGGGATAGGGATTAGTACGGATCCACGTAAGCAACACGGAGATCGGGGTTAAGCATGTCCTACCTTATTTGTTCGGCTTCATAGTTGATTCTCATTTGATGGGAAGTAATAGAGCGTACAAGGTACTCCAAATTTTGGCAGGTGTACAGCTAAGATATGTTTCAAAGGTCGATTACTTGTCCCGAGCAGAGCATGATCTCTGCTGACCTAGGCAATCCCTCAATGTTCAGCTATTATCTGAGTAGTCTGAGTACCCGGGAGTAGAGCAAGCCTATCATTGTCAGATTCTATCGAATATGAGATTCCAGGGAATACCTATGTCCACTGGGAGGTGGGGGGGGGGATCAGGTTACGTGTGCCCCGGTAGACTACAAGCCCACATTCGGCGAAGTACAATATGCGACACTGGCATCATAGAGCTCGAAAAATGTCTATCACTACATCAATGGAGTAGAGTCAAGAAGAGAAGACTGGACAGAGTACAATGTCAATATGGGGAACGGAAATAGAAAGAGGCTCTAATTCCGATCAATAAGGTTTCGTGGCCCAAATGAGATGACGAAACGACCTAGCCGTTTTCGATTTATTAACTCCGGGCTTCATTTGTAATAGAAGTCCAACTATGAAATATAAAAGGCACCTCAATCGACCGGTATACGTCGTTCCACCATCAATCTTCTCATCAACAAACAACACCCTTTATCTCATACACAATGAGTGATTTCTTCGCAGCTGCTCCTGAACCCGCCACCCCTCTGGGTCGGTACCGGGTCCTCTCCTCAACAGCAGGAGTCCGCGTCTCCCCCCTCCAGCTCGGTGCAATGTCCATCGGTGACGCCTGGAGCCAATTTATGGGCAGCATGAGCAAAGAACAATCTTTCGCACTGCTCGACGCCTTCGTTGCCGCCGGTGGCAACTTCATCGACACAGCAAACAACTATCAGAACGAGCAGTCGGAGGCCTGGATTGGCGAGTGGATGGCCGCACGCAACAACCGCGACCAGATCGTGCTAGCCACCAAGTTCACAACCGATTATCGCAGCCACGTAGTCGGGAAGGGCAACTCTCCTAACGCCTGCGGGAACCACAAGCGCAGCATGATCCTCAGCGTCCGTGACTCTCTCCGCAAACTCCAAACCGATTTCATCGATGTCCTCTACCTCCACTGGTGGGACCACACCACCTCCATCGAGGAAATCATGGACTCCCTCCACATACTCGTCGAGCAGGGCAAGGTCATGTACCTCGGGATCTCGGACTCACCCGCGTGGGTCGTTGCCGCGGCGAACACTTATGCGCGTGCGCACGGCAAAACGCCTTTCTCCATTTACCAGGGGCGGTGGAACGTGATGCGCCGCGACTTCGAGCGCGATATCCTGCCCATGGCGCGGCATTTCGGGATGGCGCTTGCGCCGTGGGATGTGCTTGGTAGTGGACATTTCCAGTCCGCGAAGCAGATCGAGGAGCGGAAGAAGGCGGGTGAGGGGCTGCGCAGTATTCAGGGATCTGAGCAGACGGAAGAAGAGGCGCGGATCTCCGAGGCGTTGGCCACGGTTGCCGCTGAGCATGGGATTGAGTCGGTTACTACCATCGCCTTGGCGTATGTGCTCTGCAAGGCGCCGAACGTGTTCCCGCTAGTGGGAGGCCGCAAGATTGAGCATCTCCATGAGAACATCAAGGCTTTGTCGATCCGGCTTACGGATAAGCAGATTGAGTTTTTGGAGGCGGCGACCAATCTTGACATTGGGTTCCCAGGTAACTTCATTGGAGTTGATCCGAGTACCAATGGTGGCAAGGTGGGTTTCCTGATGGGTGCTGCTGGTCACATCGATTATGTACAGGCACCTCGGGCTATTGGATACGAGCCTAGTAAATAGAGCAGGTTGATCTGTCTCAGAGGTTCACCATGTCACTAGAACTTGTGTAAATCTAGTTTTTATTTATTTTATCTTGAAAACATAGGTACATCTACTCGGATAGATTCACTGAGAAGCAATGGAATTGTTAAAATAAAAAAAAAATTTAAAATAAAAATGACAAGAAGTGAAGATGACGATGGGTGTAGAAGCCAGTTCAACACAATGTACTGCTATCGCATGCCGTTCCACGCTGGGAATGCGTCGAAGGAAGACGTCTCTGCACCACCATGCTGAAAAATCCAGCCCCCAATATGATGATAGTCGTTATGGAAGTAGATAGAATAGTGGGGTATGAGAATTGCAGATGCCCGCACCTGCAGCTAGGAAACTTCTGCGGGTTGACATGTTGACCATCAAGATCAAAATCTTGATTTCAGCTGACAGTGTTGCCATAGGGTTTGGACGAAATATGAGAGAATCTGGGTGGGGGATTTGTTTTCGAGGGGTGACCGGTTGTGGTAGGTCTGAGACTTTGAGTAACATCAAGGAGGTCGACCAAGCCAGCTTTCAAATTCGCTGGGGAGAGAGAGGAGGACGGCCGCTGTTTAGGTCATGAAAACGAAGAGCTCCGGCCAAAAAAGAAACAAATGAAGGCAATCACAGGGTCATTTCGGTCGTTTAGTTCTCGCGGGGAATTTCGAGGCCATTATCCTTGTTAGCGATGAGCGCAATCAGAGCTGCGCCAACACCGCTGCCATCCTTGGAAATACCAATGCGGATCTTCTTGTCGCCTGCAACTCCGACCTGAGGAACTTCACGCAAAGCCTCCCGCATATACCCTTCAAAATTGGGATAGAATTCAACGAGACTGCCATCGACACCGATGTCAATGATGTCATCAGTCTCAAGTTTGTTGGTGTGCACGAGAATGGCAGCCAACGGAACAGCGCTCAGACGAGCGGCACGTTTTCCAATGGCGTGAACTATGATTTTCACGGCCTGGCATTCTTCAAAGCTGGGGTTCTCAATTTCGAGGTGATCCTTCAATGCGGTCTTCACATCCACCAAGTCCTTGCTGCTATCAGCCTCGACTGAACTCAGCATGCTGGTGTCAAGACCCCATTGACGGAAAAGCATCGATCCTTCTGGAATGACGACCTTGGAATTCTCGTTGGCCTTGAACAATCCCAGGTCGGTGTTGCGGTGTAGAGACAGGAGCGCACGGCGCAAGATTTCACCCAAGAACATGCCTGAAACACGCTTCTCAAACATCTGCACACCGGGGTTGTTGCTATCGGCATCGAGCTCATCATCGAACACCGTGGTAGGTAACACGCTCATGTGGTTGTCGAAGCTACCCCATTCAGCGTTGATGATCATCTCGCCTGTGGGGTCATCAAAGTGGGCATCCTTCATGTGCTGGAGCTTGGTGATGTTCTTGGTCTTCTCCAGATAAGCACCGTTGGTACCGGTTCCGAAAATGGCACCCAGGAAAGTGCCAGTCTTGCCTGGCGAGGTATATGAGCGGGCCATGAGAGTACCGACGGTATCGTTCACAAGTGCAGCCACACGTACTGGCAGGTTCAAAACATCAATGGCGGACTGAAGCAGCGCGCAAACGTCGTGGCCAACCGCATCAGGAATGTTGAAGCCCTTGGTCCAACGGATCAGTGTTCCGCGGTTGATGCCACACTGGCGCACGGGGAAACTGAAGGTAAAGCCCAAATCGAACATGTCCTCTTCCTTGTAATCCTCCCGTCGGCGAAGCTGGTGGGCCTCGAAATGTTCATTGTGGTGAATGCGAAGGAATGATTCGATTTGGCGGGCCAGGAACAGGAAGAGATCCTTCGAGGTGCCGGAGGCCATCAACTCCCGAGGAATGAGGATCTTGGATTGAGTGAGGGAGAAGGTAGTATCGCCGTGCAAGAGGACCGAGCACACACGGAAATTCGTGCCACCGAGATCCACAGCCAAATAAAGGCCCTATAACAAGGAAGATCAGCGCGCAGCTCTCCTTGGCATTCGTCTGCCTTCATACCCTTTCTGTGCCATTTGGCACTGCAGTCACGAAGGTAGGAATTTGGCTCAAGGTGGTGCCCTCTTGGGTCAAGCCCTCGTTGGACTGCTTGATGTACTCGGCAACCCCGCGTTGCACTTTCTCGGCGGGGTAGTCGAAGTCACGCGCAATGCGCGTGGCCTGGTCCAATAATGAAGAAGACATTGTGTAACAAGGAAGGAGAATAGCCGGTCAAGTAAAGGGTTGAGATACCAGCTAATTGATAAAAAAGAATGGAAAGGAGTAAAGTGAGAAGAAGTTGAGAAGAAGAAAAGCGGGAGAGTGCAGAGAAATAAGACACGCAAGAAACACAGAACATCAAAAGTGGGATGACGGCGGGTTCCATGAGGTCAGTCCCCGGTACCTTCACAGTACATTTCCCGCTGTAACAATGGCCACTGTTAATGAGGTATCCGCAATGTACTCTTGGAATATCGGGGGATTGCCGGGTTCACCGGAGAGAAATGTTACTTGATTCTACCAATAACATTGTACGCTTTCATTTCCATTCTTTGAAAGATCTGAGCGTCAATAAATATTGTCTTGTCACATAGTATGGTCCCGTATCTGACCGAAAGCAGTCTCTACATTCCGGCAGTCGTAACTTGGGGATTTCTTTTTTTCCATGACGTTGTGAACACAACCATTTAATTTTAGTGGATTTAGGCAGTTGTGGGGAGGCATTATCATTGGTTAATTTTTGCTAACTGCATGTTTTCCCCCGACTTCACCGGTGAGACAGATTAATACCGGGGGGGACGGGAAGATGCAAATACCACATCGGGGAATAATGGTATTTCTTTGAACCCTCATGTGGATTTCTGTATACACAGATTTACGTCATTTGAAGACGTTGTCATTTCTTTCGCTTATACGCGAGTGTGCAACATGTCTGTGTACAATACTCCGTACTGGACGGAGTACATCACAAAGACGGGATAGATCGGCCCCATCCCGATGGTCAGATGGCCCGAATAAACGGAATCCCGAATATGGATGTCTTGAAACCCCATGGAGATGATGAGACATGTGGCTTTTCTCTTATGAAGACATTTTATGAATTCATCAGTACTCCGTAGTTCCAGGGTTATTCCTCTTCCTTTTCTCCTCGGCTATAGGTCTACGTCAGATTGATTAGCTTTTCAACATGAAAATGCCCCGACACAACCCCATTCCATTTCAATTCCCATTACAGTAACCCCCCCCCCCCCCCCCCCCCCGGACTATGACGATACCGGATACAACGAAAACCCGGTTATTACGATAAGAATTCGGTGCTTGAATTGATCCGCTATGTACAAATCGGTAACCCTCTTTATGTTGTACGACAGTGATCGTTCGTTGACCCTCTCTTCGACGAAAAACGAAATCGTAAAATTCAGGGATTCCGATGTCCCAATAATAGCCAATCAAATACCTCACTAACTGGTCGCGTGTCCTTTAATTGATCTCAACCAATTCAAATGCCTCACCGATCATCCCTAACCTCCTAGAGAGTGGCTCTACGAGAGTAGTTACTTGGTGCGATTTATAGACATGTTAGGTAAAATGAGGTTCGGAAAGGAAAAGGGCAGAAGCAGAGCGATACTAGAAGCTTTTTTGAGGTCTTGATTCGCATGTAAACCAGAAATATATGCAACCAACGTAGGGCACCTTGATTTTGACGATTCCTGGGATCTTATGTCAATTTTGCAGTATCTGTATTACATCGTTACAGGTATGTTTAATTGTATATATCACACGTAGGTGTGTTAGATTGATTTGTCCCAATACTGAAAGAGTATGACCGACATCTGAAAGTAGCCATGGAGTGCTGGCATTTTGCACTCATGAACCCCAATCTATTACTATTCCTGAAGTTTGAAATAGGGCAATTAATTTTTTGGACCGATCGAACTCTGATAGATTCAAAAAGTATAAGAATAGTTGGCCACGTTCGCGGTCTAGAGACCTCTTTTACAGTATGTGTTTTTGAAAGTCTTTTACCATATCTTCTCCCATTATCATTTGAGATGCCCGCGTCATGGGTGGTGAAAGTGGCTCAAAAATGTGCACAACGGCTTTTCTGTGAATAATGTTTAACGTACACACCTCAGGCTTCAGATGATACCTATGGCCACAACCTAGCTCGCGTGGAGACTCGGCAGAACTAGCGTAGTTAATCTTGTTCTTTGTTTTAACGGCACTATGGTTTTAGACAAAGCTTTTACTTTTTCACAAAATGCATTGGAACTTGTATTTTCCTATGGAAAATGCCTGAATTCATCAACCAAACGTCTATTTAGCTGCAGATTTTGCAGAGATCAAGAACACGGCGTTTGATATAGCGCAACATAAACGTCGAGGTGGAAAACATGGCTGCCATATTCCTTTAGCCACGAAAACTTCATTTCAGCAATACGTTTGCTAGATTGGTATTCATTGGAGAATTGACAAAGCCTAGACCAAGACTCTCTTCGAGTCCTCCAAAGTATGGCTGTTGGGTGCCGTCAGATTTCGCTTTTCCAAAACGTCACATTGTTTGCAAATCAGATCTTGGCATTTGAAGTGACTGGTGCTGAGCCCTTCGCTGCCGGTAATTTTAGTCTACGGCAGTGAAAGTAAAACGTGACATCGCTCGAATGTCACAATGTATAGAAAAATGCCTGTTGAGATCAACCGGCAACTGGCTCCGGGTTGATGATGACTAACAGAACACACGTGACCGCCAACATCCTCCGAACTGAACGGGTTGAGTGCGGGCGTCGGGAAACATCACTGCCTTTCTATCTTAACAGGACTCGTCCTTCTTTGCCGAAAAATGGGTGCTGGAAACTCTAAGCCCGAGGCTTCGGCTGGCTCACAACATGTGTTCTCCAGGTATTTGCTCTCCGACCTCGATCTCAGCTTCCGCGGCACATCGTGCTTGACGGCGGAGAGAACGGAAACTACCTTCCAAGTGACGCCAATTGGGAAGGGCAGACGATTTCCGCAGATCTAAAGCTGCTCTCAAGATGCAATCATCATTTGCGACACCGCGGAGCTCATTCAAAACACCTTACAGCCGACGCTAACCTAACCCTGCACAGCAACTCTCCCGTCCAATTCTCCTCAAACCTAGTCGATGCACTCCAATCAACCTCAGAGGTGAGCACAACACGGCTATAAGCAAAATTATTAGCCCAATCCAAAAAAAAAAATACTCACAAGCCATCAATAAAACAGACCGACTCCACCCGCGCCAAAGCCCTGGAACTGGAGATCCAAAACCGTGTCGCGCAGGAACTGCAACGCCTCCGCGAACGCGAATATCAAACCCTCGCCGAGATCGAGAAGCGAATCTCCGAGTCCAAAGACACCATCTCCCTGCCCATCACAGCAGCGACTGCGCCCCTCGCCCCCTCTACCTCGGGTTACCCAGCCGGCTCACTGAACCTGGACGCACCGCGAATCCCCTTCGCCGGCCGCCACCACGACCCCGTACCTACAGTCGCCGCGCCGCAGGAAACCGCTGCCGCTGCACAGCCAGTCAAGCGCGATATCTCGCGCGACTCTGTAGCTGTTGAGATCGAACAGCTGCGGAGCAAGCTTGATGGGCGGAGGAAGCTCGTGGAACTCGATGATCGAGTTGCCAAGGCCCGCTCAGATGTTACTAGCTGTCTGCAGTTGAATGACCGCCGGCCATTGAACTGCTGGGAGGAGGTTGATGCGTTCAAGCGTGAGGTCGCACGCATGGAGGCCGCTTTCGTGGATCGCATTGTGGGTTAAAATTGGTTGGCTCGGGAATACAACGGCTTGATGTAAAGTGTCTACGTTTTATGGGACCTGATTTTGGACTGGAAGCTGCTGTACTGTATGCATAGAACGTGCATTTTTCTTTGTTCCATCTGTTTTCATTCGAATAGGTTAGAGTTAATCCATGGATGAGAGTGGATCTTCGTTGTCTGACCCTTCAAAGGGCTATTCTTTTGCTAGTAGACAGATGTGTTGAGTATCTAGTTACGGGGGCGGACGGTGTTGGAAAACACAATTGGGCATCCGCACTGCTGGGCAAGATTCATCGAATTAGATATCATACAAACTGCCACAATCCCAAACGCCCACTCTTCTCCCCCGAGGCCCGAATGATACACATTCTTCTTTCAGAGAGTTTGACATTGGGAGCCAATACCTTGGAAAGCTGGATAGACCCAATGCCCGTCCCTTTGCCTTCTGAAAGGTTATAGTTTCCCGTAGTGACAAACCCAATCAGGTCATCTTCGGTGGGCACATCCAATGGCTCAGAGTCAGGTTCTCCATCGCCGGACGAGATCAGAGCCCGGGCAAGAAGACGCCTAGCTTCTTCGGATTTAGTCGTAACGTTTCCATCCTTGGGGAGCTTCGGTTGGCCAGACTTGTCGATCCTTGCCGAGCCAAGATCGAGCCATTTCTGGCGTAGAGCTGGGTCCGTAGGGAGCCGGTAGATTCGTGCGCGGGGTGTGGGTGTGCCTCGCGTGGCGAGAGAAATATAGACTGTGGCAAGGGTGGAAACATCGACGGAGGTTTTGTCAAGTTTACTCAGGTTTTGGTAGGTATCGGCCGGAGGAAGACGAGCATTGTGAAGATTGAAGGGCGGGATGATGGGTGTAGAGAATTCGTTTTTCTCGGCCTCCTTGGACTCGGTTGGCAATTTGCCCGAGTTGCCATCGGTTGCTGTGGTTGTAGCATCGTCGTGTTTCGGCCCTTTGATAAGCCTTTCCCAGTCACAGGCCCACCCATGGCCTATCTCGCCCTTTGGACGACCATCTCCTAACGAAATGTTATCAAATTCGGGACGCCTGCCCTTAGGACGTCGCTCCCAATCACGTCGAGATTTCTCGGCCTCACGTTGGCCCCATTCCCAGCCAGCTCGTGTTCCCGGGAAATCTCCAGGGAACCAGGCCTCGCCTGCTTCGAAAGCGAGCTGTTGCTGCTGTTTTAACCCGCCAAGCAATGGGTTCCCTCCGCTAGATAGTGGGTAGAACATGATTGAATACCAGACCGGGACAACACATTTCCATGGTAATAATACAGTCCAGGACCCCGGGGCATTGCTGCCTTTGGCCCGGGATTGCGGCTTGTTTGCCAGTACCATGATCGGAATTTCAGGATCTGATGAGTGGGATAGCGGAGATTTACCAGGGCCGGCAAGAGTGCGGCGCCTATTGATAGATTTCTGGCTCGGAAGCTGACGAGCCGCTGTTAACCGAGTCGATCGATCGAACAGCTTGGAGGGACCTTGCGTTTTGTCCGGATGCCATGTAGAAAGTAAGATAGCAAGGTCACTCAGATGAGATTCATTGTCGGGGACGTGAAGTGTACGTGGTGGGAAGTGCAGGCGAGGATCGGAAATGGCAAATGAGAGTAGGGCATTTTGCGGCAGTGACGACGGATTTGATACCCCTAGAAGAGATGGCCAGACGGCTTCCGGGCTTTGTGCTGATGGAGCACTACCGTCTGGCCCAAGACTCGGTTTCAATACCGCCAACAAGGCCTCGGTAGACCCCGGCCCTGTGATTTCAATACTGCCAATCTCGAATCGCAGGTCCTCGACCATAACAGGGGGGTTTTGCGATTTGGATACCCCAAGGACATCCGTCCATAGCTGGAGGAACGCCGAAGGATGGACTCTAATCCAGAGTTTTCGATGATGTTTCTTAGATGACTTGGGCTGAGGTTCGTCGGCATCAACCATCTCAACATCTTCTTGCTTGGCACACCATATTAACGTCACCGGTGCAGTTGGACGTTTCGGATGATCCTTTTCAAAGGTCCAGGCCTGCAGAGACCGAGTCCCGGCTCTCCATTTCTTCCCCTTGGTGCCCCATGAATTTTCACCGTTGACACCCATGGCCGCTAGGACAGCCTGAATAGCTGGTTCAGTTCCTTCCAACTGAATAGTAGACATGTAGCTCATATCCCACGCCACAGCACCCCGGGCGCCTCGAGCCCGGTGCGTAGGCCGATAACTTTTCTCGGTGGGGGACAAAGGAACAGCAAAGCGCCAAATCGGGTCTTTGGTCGTGGCCATGTGAGCTCGCTTTGCATGATACAAGTGGGTAGGTAGCCATGTCTTGCATTTCTGGCGCTTGCGGTACTTAGGCTCTGCCGGAATAGACCTCGACAGCTTGTTTTTCTTGATCTTGGGAACTCGTGGGGCAATATCGAAGGCATGACTTCCCTCCTTTTCCAATGAAGATTTGTTCTCTTGATCGCGCTTTAGTTTTACAGCCGCCCGTCGGGCCTTTGTTTTCGAATTGATAGCCTGTAGCCGTCGAGCGGTATCGAGGCGAATGCGCATTATCTGGGATGGCTTGCGTCTGCGCGCCGTAACAGTAGGTGTGTTATCCTCGGCCATCTAACATTGATGAAATAGCGGGTTAGTCAACGGCTATTGGCAAATCGTAGACCACTGTCAATGAATACCTCTCGCTTCGCTCGGGCTCTCAACCTCCGCGGAACTCGTTTCACATTATGACTCGCCGTCCGCCGCCGCAGGGAGCGAGGAACTTTCTGGAAGGCTCGCGTCGTGAGCGCATTTTTTGATCGCTGCATCCCCTCCTCCAAAGCCTGGATCTCAAATGCCCGAGCTGCAGTGTAGGCGGCGACATCGAGCTCGCCTGTTGCGGAGAGGGCGGCGTCGGCCGACTGCACAGCCAAGGTTCGCGCATCAAAGGTTTTGGCGCGTTTGCGAGATGCCCCGGCTGGGCCATGCGGACCTGGAGGAGCGAAAGGTTTCCGCTTGGCAAGAAGGTGTGAGGCCATGGCTGATGATTGAAGTTGTGTGCATCGACGTTGACGAGCAAAAAAAGTTGCCGGGCTTGGCGCGTCATGATCGGCGATTCCAGGATGATCTCTTACACATGCTGCTCTTTTAACTACTGTTATTATCTACATATGTAATGTCAAATCACATTTGTTGATTCATTGATCTTACAATTCAAACATCTGTAAGCGAACAGATAAGTCGTATCAATGGAAAAGCTGGTGTGCGTCCTCATACTGCCACTGCGACATGGTCTGTCATACATCTGCATGTCGTCCAAGAAACCGGCGGCTACATGGAGACGCCACCAAATGCATTTTTATTTTAGCATACCCATTTTCATCCTCAGCATCTGCAAGCTGACTAGCCCCCACGACCATTTGATATGCAGTCTCAATATTAGTAATACAAGGGATTGTGCGCAGCTCGCCCAGCAACGAGGCACCTCTCAGCTCAATTGCTTCGCCAATCAGTTTGACGTCGGCGATGTTGAGTTCTTTCGTCAAATCAATGAAGCATGTTGCTGCGGTGACAAAATTGGAGATGAAGAAATTGTAGTAAATCGTGTAGCTGTTGTCACCGCCTACCACGCGAATAGAGAGTGTGTGTGAACGCAGACAGTGGCAATCAGGTCCTAGCTAAAACCACTATCAGCAGTCAATCTTCCTCCCAGATAGGAAGGCAACTTACATCTGGGCAATTGACTGTGGTTATCATCGAAGAGGGCACCACAATTAACTCAATTCTTAGGCCAGCGAGGACAAGAATTCCCTAGAGCTGATGCATTTTCTCGGTGCCGCCAATAGACACAGCTCCGGATTCTGTTTTGGGGGAAATTAATTAGCTTCTCAGGGACTTTTATGCCCATGAAGAACACTTAGGAGCACAAGCACAATACATGCCTCTGCTGTGATTCCAAAGCCAATGGTGGGACTGCAAACACCCACATCCACTGGGTCATGACCGTAAACATTGAACGATTCTGCGGGCCAGAATTTCACACGGCAAAAGTCGGCACCAGCGATGGCCATGCCCACCGTGTCCGTTTCAGTGAATATCTTTGTACTTCAATGTTTGGGCAAATGCAAATCAACAAAGTTGTTCGTTGTGTGCACTGTGCTGCAGATGATCATTCCAACATCTATCAGGGAGACTTCAATTATGGCGACTGGGTGACGTCCGATTAGATCCGATAAAGGCCCAACAAGAGGGCATACACCAAGACTGAGTATTGAATCATAACCTTGTCGAATCTACAATAAAAGCCGACTACATCTGTCAGAAGTCATCAGATAACATGTATTTGTACAGAAATAGTTCATACATGGGATCTGTTTTTCCTTTGCTAGCTTCCTGTTTTTCAATTGACTTCGTCCAAAGGGGCCAGCAGGCCGGTGCTGAGTTTGTTAACCTCGGCCAGAGGTCTAAGGCAGTCACGCGATCGAAGAGAGCCACGTACTAGGAAATAATTGAGGATATTTCCATAATTCAGAAAGATTCCCCAATCGTATTCAGCTTGAGTGTCTTTGGGACAACGAACAGACCCGTCGCTTCAACACATAGTCGGCCTGCCATGTCACGGACCTCACACTTGGCGTATGCTTTGGTCTCCGTGCTCCGTTTCTGATCTAGGGTTGTATGTAGGGCATAGAAATTGTCCGAGTGGACCGGCGCCCGGTAATTGAGTTCGAGGCTGGCAGTGACACCTGTTCGCGCTGGAAAATGCCGAATGGCTGCGCGCCCCATGTTCTCATCGATCACAGTGCCAAGCGCGCCCCCATGGACCATGGTTGGCCAGCCTTCGAGGCCTGGTCCCAAGAAGACCACGCTAACCAGTTTCTTCTCTTTGTCGTTCCAGAAAACTTTCTATTCAAATGCGAGAACAGTTAGACAAAGCGGAGTCCCGAGGTTTGACAGTCAAAAAGTTCGGCATTCATCTAAGACAAACATGTCTCGGACACACAAGAGAAAGCGAATGACCTACCTGTAATCCCAAGCCCCTACTGCCAGCCAAGGGACCTGATGTCAGTCGATGCGTTTTGTGTTTATCCGTAAAATTTTCGTAGACGTGATTCTCCACGTAATCGGGGTTACTACGCAGCTCCTGCACAATGGGAAGTCCAATGTCGAACACACGCTGGATTTCCTGAAGCTCCATTTGGTCTTCTAACGTCCCAGGAGCCGGTGGCACTCCGATTTTGTTGTCCAACCATTTCCCTGCGCCAACACCAAGTGTTCCAAAGACGCCGGCATAGATCAGGCGGCGCATCCAACGCGATGGTTCTCGTGAGGCATTTGGTTGTGCTGCGGTACTGACGTTTCGAACCACTGGTCGCCAAAAGTTTCGTGTCTGTATAGAAGACTGACGAAGGGTCGACTGGAGGATGCTGCGATATTGTACCATGGTGGTCACATTTCCATTTCTCTAGAATTATGAAATAGACTTCATCGGAGCTCTGGGCAAGTTGCGCCGAGGCTCGACAAGGTCACGTGTAAGTTGACTGTCGTTAGTCATTTGCACATGTTCCAACGTTGGAAGGCTGTCATAGGAAGAGATCTAAATTTCTACAAGGACTACAGAATGTAGATCATTGCAAGGCATAAGACAATCAATTGGTAATAGTTAGGGTGGCGGAGACTAGCATCATTCATGTTCATCGTTTCTATTCATCTAGAGGCAACTTTTGCAGATTTCTTTCTCATGTGAATGAATGCTAAGACAAACCCATTCACTCGGATTTGGGCAGCTCAATCGCGCGGTAGAGGCAAATGAGGGCAGAGTGTGACTCGCCTAGATATAAAATTAGCAATGGCACTTGAATTGTAGGATGCATTTTACTTACCGCCACCCGAAAGGGTCTCGATCTTCTGCGCCTCCACCTCAGTCACTGTGTCGTCGTTGAACCACCACCACTTGTCGTCTGCCTCGCGGCGCTTGCTGCCAGTCTGACGCTCATTCTGCTCCTGTTTCTTGACATATGCCGTGTAGTGACCGCTATCGGCGCTAGCACCTTGGTGGGTAATCACGGCACGAAGCTCATACAGACCGGACTGATTGGTCCCGCTGTCTCCAGCACCCCGTTGGTTGACGAGTTCTTGGAGCTCTTTCTTAGCAACGCGGATCGATTCCGCTTTTTCTGCTTCGTACTCGGCATCGGTTTTGAAAGTTTCCTCCATGTGGCTATCGCCGTCCTTGTCGTTCACTTTAGACTTGTTCTCCTCAGTGGCCTTCTTCTTCTGCATTGGCTCCACGCTTTCGCCCAGATTGGTCTCTTTCTGCTGACGCTCTGCGCGCTCTTCGGCAATTCTTTGACGTTTCTGAGATCGTTCGACTTCCAGCTCTTCCTTGCGGATCTCGCGAACCTTGTCACGAATAGGGACGAGTTGCGTTCGGAGGTCCTGGGTACAAAACTCTACAACATCCAACTCGGCAGGGAATGTCACTTTGCGCATGATCTTAGCCTTCTTTTGTGTCTCACGCTTCCAGTAAAATCGGACAAAATGGACTGTGAGGTATTTCGGCAGCCGGGCGATGCGAGAACGCTTCTTGTACACAGAGTTGCGATCCAAAAGAGGAGATTTTTTCTCGATTTCCTCTTCGAGACCAGCCAGAATTCCATCATGCAGGTGATTCGTTTCTTTTCCGATATGACAATCAAGTTTGTAGAAAACAGCAGAACTCTGAGTCGGTTGCTCGCCAAGTTCCTTAGCGGCTGGATCTTCACACTCGGTGACCGATTCAAATTGGCCCGCAAGATATTTATCTACAAATGACGTGGTAGTGGTAGACTCTCCCTCGCCCTCGGTGATGGTCAACTTAGCTCGCAACTGGTTCAAGATCTGGGAGAAAGCCTCTTCGGCATCCTGTTGGGAGTATCCTTGTCCATTTCGGTCACGTTGGGCGAATTGAGGGAAGACGGCTCGGAGGGATTTGAGGAACATCAGAGGGGGAATACCCTTCTGGGTCTCGGACATTTGCTTGAACAGATCTCGCAGAGAAGCGGCCAAATCCCGAGAACCTCCAAGACCACCAATACCAAAGCTGCTGAGGTCTGACAGACTCGACTGTCCAGTTCCTACACTTGGTCGATATCGCAAGAGCTCCTCCTGAAGCTCCGGGACACTCCGCAAGGTCTGTAGGGAAGAGTTGAGGTAGCATGTGTTCCCCAGGTTCTGCAAACCAGCAGGGGTAGCACCCTCCTGTCGTGCCACCTCGGCTTCAGTCATGTCTTCCAGGAATTTGACGGTCTCCTTTGGCCGACCAAGGTCCGCGGAACCTTGACCTCCCAATGGGGTGCCCATCATCATGAACACCTGCCCGGGTTTGGCATTAAGTGACGAAAGAGGAGTATCATCTTTAAGCTGGCCACCTTTAACCAAAACCTTTTGGCGGTCAGGTTCCACACCAGTCAAGGAAAAGAGTTGGTACTTGAGTGTTTCGCCGTTCGACGTAGGATCGAGCTCGACTTCGTGGCGCTTGCCGGCGTGTTTGACAATAACTGTGTATATGTTAGTAGTGGTCTAGGAACTGCCAGCACATCGATACATACTCGGTATAGCCGCCATTTTCAACAGTTTTCAAGGATGGATAATGTGAGAAGGATAAAGAGCTTGGAAGAGCGTGCGACTGCTGGGGCAAATGCCTGGGACGAGGAAGCGGAGGGGGTCTCTCACCGCCCAATCACCATCATCACCGCCCACCCCGACGTCCACCTCCTCTTTTGCTTAGGACAACCTGTTACCTTAAGAACTGCATTCCTTACTCACTGCTTTGGGACAAAGGGCCTGCACAACGGGCTAATTTCAATTTCCCCTGAACCAGCTCTCGACCGTATCAATCTCTGCGGCGGTTGCATCCTCGTGGCCTCGACAACACCCCCTCATCATGGTAGGTACAGCTCCAATCAGCCAGCTCGTTCTATGCTAATTAATTACCAGAGTCAATCTCTCCGGCCCTACCTCCAGGCGTGAGTCTTGGCCTTTGGCAAGTATTTAGCGGTCAGCTTACTTACACTTCACTAGTGTTCGGTCCTCTCTGACCGCGGCTCTTACGATCTCCAACTTCGCTTCTCAGACATCCGAGCGGCAGTAAGTTGCCTATAACGCAAAATTGAGACATGAAGACGCTAATATACTCTGTTCCACCAGTAACTGTCCAGAGGTCGAGGCAAATTCTTCACCCGAGATCCTACTGAACCCGTACGTCTGACCATCATTTCTCCCAAGGTCGCATGGGACAAGCGTATTGATGGTCTTCCAGGTTGCACATTAGCAGGAATGAAAATGAAAAGGTGAAAATTGAGCCAAGCTACAATTCTGTACGCATAAGCATCAGAATCAAGCAGGCAGATGAGATCGAGCACATTCTTGTTCACAAATTCACTCGGTTCCTCACCCAGCGAGCGGAATCATTCTTCATTCTGCGCCGGAAGCCAGTGGAAGGATATGACATCAGTTTCCTCATTACGAACTTCCACACGGAAAAAATGCTGACCCACAAGCTGATCGATTTCGTGATCGAGTTCATGGAAGAGGTGGACAAGGAGATTTCGGAGATGAAGCTCTTCGTATGTGTGCGTATGCGTTATTTTCGTCCCAGGTTACTAACAGCTCACTAGTTGAATGCCCGTGCTCGATTTGTTGCTGAGTCTTTCCTGACACCGGTATGTTTTCATTGAGCTGTCTACCATTGACTCAATTCCTGACGAAAGTACAGTTCGATTAAATTGCCTAGCGTTTTCCTGTTGATTTCGAATAATGAATGGCCTTGTGTTTCCCACTTTCAACTCCTGTACAGATAGCATAGGCTTTCATTGATTAAGAGATAATCTCATCCTGATGTCTGTCGATCGATATTATCTATCCAATTTCAATTCCCTTTTAGTGGCAAAGTAGACCCTTTCTACTGGCGTTGGGTCCATGCTATCCTGCTGCCCCCCATGGCCTAGCTCCTCTTAATTGAGGCAAAAACTACCTTCCATAGTGCTACACAGTAAGAAACCAAGATAGAGGAACCTAGACTAGGGAGCAACGGTTTTTTTACGGCAGTAGTACAATGCATATCTTCAAGAGCCCACGGCTCAGAACAATCCACCAGGCTAGAGAGTGGCCACCATTGACGGGACACATTCTGAAAACAAACATCTATGATGTAGATCCAAGTCTGTTTGAAATTGCAATTGTTTATCACTTGAGAACAATATCAGCCGAATCAGAAACAGGAAGTTGGGAAGATTGCCGTTTATGCGATGCCAAAGGCCGCTGTCGAATAACTAGGAGCAGTGCGTGGATAATAAATATTGCACGGGCAAAGTGCGTGGGAGAAAGAAGGGTGGGGCGTACTAGTACGTGGCAAAGGAGTCTTTGCATCGAAGCTAGGCGAAATGGAAATATTCACGAGGAAGGCGTGGGATTCTGGCTGAGGGCGAATCAGATGCGTGGAAATAAAAGAGTTTTGCAGGCACAGGTGCGTCGCTCTAAACACATACGACTCGGGCAGGATGTAAAGATACTCCTAGCTTCGAACTTCAAAGAATTTCTAGACATCACCATAAGTGATCGTCTTAAAGAAACCGACACAAGTAGAGCTTAATGTCCCTAATTTCAATTAAGAATGTCAAAAAACAACCAACTCTTACAAATTAACTAGGAAAAGCGAGGTCAAACCTTGATGGTTTTGGTAGAGGGGTCTGCAAATATAGCAATCCTTCAACAACCTAGGTACCTTCCCAAAACGACGGACTTGTAACGCGCGCCGAGGCCAATTCCCACCGCTATAAATAACCCATGATTATCGACACGCACTTTTCCTCGAAAATGTTCTTGTTTCCACGCACCATCTATTTCATCTCGAATCAATTCCTAGCCCTAACATGAGTGAACAATCCGGGCAGATGCCCGAACTTGATGAATGGCATACCACTATAAGCCTTCTTGCAGCTAATCTTAACCTACTGATACTCAATGAGGAGGCACACCCAGAGCCACAGACTGTGAGTGGTTCTCACAGTCGCAAGCACTCACCCTCTCGAATTGCTTCTGGTAGTTCTCCTCTGAACAAATCATCCTCCGATTCCACTTTAAGCTCTCAGAGCTCTGCTCAGGCTTCCGCTCCAAAAGTTGCTCAGGTCTCTTCTACCTTCCCATCTCACCCTCCCCTTCCTTCGACCCCATCCTCTTTAATTTCTTCCCACCACCAAAGTTCATCTTCCTCTTCCACCATCCACTCTCCTGCAAAAAATCCTCAGTCTGCAGCTGGATACTCTTCCAACTCCTTCGAATTTGTGCCCCAAACCCATCCTCCTCTCAGCTTTCAGCCCCAATTCTATCAGTGTCCCTTTGAGACCATACCTCAAATCTACCACAATCCTGTCGACTTTGCTCGTCAGCTCTCCCCCAGTAAGCATCCTCTTGTTTTCCTTTGCCGTGATCAATCAACCCACTGTACTATCACCCTTGAAACCGTTTGGGCCTCTCTGATAACAGTTTTATTGCAGCAAGCTCCTCTAAACCCGAATCTCTTCCATCTAACAACGCCAACATGGGCTGGCCATTTGACCTGGAAGGGATCCCCGACTACGGAGATATTGTGCGTTTTGAAGGCTACTCGATCGAGGATCTTCTTCAGCAGGCTTCCACTCCATTTGGTAGTATCACTGAGATGCGCCCACCTTATCGCAATGGCGTTCTGATGATCTCGAACGTGAGTTTTCTTCTCGCCACATTCTTCCTGTTGACAGCTACTTCTTGTTGCTAATCATTCTGATACCCAGATCCCGTACACTGTGACTCGCCAGGAGGTGGCCTCGTTCCTTGGACGCAGTGCTAACCTTCTCCCATCTTCTCAAGGATGCCCGATTCATATCATAATGGAACGGTCCACTGGAAAGACTATGGATTGCTATGTTGAGTTCCCAACTAAGGAGGATGCTGAAGATACCGTCAACCGCATCAATCATGCCTATGATGCTGGCAGCATGCCACGTATGGGCAGCCGCCATGTTGACATAGAGCTCAGCACCCCGGCCAAGCTGCTCAAGGCTGCCTTTCCCCGGGCGAAATGCATTTCATGGGAGAATGGAATTCCTGTTCAGCTTGTCAACAAAGATAGTTGGTCCACTGGTTTTGATGGCTTCCTCACCGACGAGGAATTGTTTTGCCTCGTTCGTCTTGCAGAACAACCGCATCGTGTACGTCTGAACCCTCTTCAAATCCTTCATTTTCATGTCACTGAGCTCTAACACACTGCAGAGCGCATTTGCTAGCAAGGTTCCTCAGCGTTGCTATGAATCGTTCATTACCACTATCTGGAAGGTACATCAACCGTTGTTCTTGCATCTCCGTTTGTTCTTCCGTGTCATGCTTACATTCTTTGTCTTATGAAATAGTTCCCATGGCACGCAACTCATCTCTACACCGTACATCATCGCAATGCTCTTTTCAGGACTCTTGGTACCTTGATCAAGACTCTGGTGGAGCGTATGCAGAAGACAAACACAGTCGGTTTAGATATCCGCCTTCTCAACGAGTTGGTTCATGCGGGAATATGTTGCCCCGCTTTCAATCCTCGCATGAAATACTGTTTTGCTTGGTGGTCAAAGGATCAGAGAGGAATTGAGTCATTGGACCATGACTGGTGCCTCTACTTCCCATTCGACACTCTGACATATGTTCCTGGACAAAGTTCTGCTGCCATTCAGGTATTAAAAATGGTTGATACATTATATTCTTTTGAAAGATAACTAATCTATTCTCCAATCGGTACAGTTTTATTCCTACGTCATGTCCAACGGTTCTGTTCTGCGCACCGAGAACGATGGTCTACTCAACAAGCATACTCACCCTGAGATCGAGCGAATTTTCGGACGATTCTGGTTTGAGTGGGACGATGGCGTTGCCCGGAACAAGATTTTCAAGGACGCAATCATCTACGAAGCCAGTGTTCTTCGGAAATTCATAATCACTGGATTCCAGCAGCTCCACAGAAGAAAATCCAGCATCTCAACCATCGGCACTGCTCCTGGCTCTTCGCCAACCCACAGTCTTGCGTCAGTCGACAGTCAACGCACAATCTCAATATCCCAAAGTGTCTCGGTGAACCCCAACCCTGCTTCTCAGGAAAGCTCGACTGTTTCGGCTACCAGCAATATGCCTAGCAGCCTCCATGAGCATAGCAATGACTGGAATGTCCCTGGTAACCCCCATGCTAGCTCTCAGCGACTTGATGCTGACCAATATCTGCCGGATACCCCCACCCATCGGCCTCGTGCATCGGTCCCTCCCTACCGTCCGCCACATCAACGACCTGCCGATCAAACCAAGTCCCGTAATCAGGCTGTTAGCTGGCGCATGCCTCAAGCCCAGGAGGTACTTGTGGCTGGCTCAACACAGAGCCATACTGAGATCCGACCCGTGTATCGTGCTCCGCACTCGACTGCGCAGAACGTTCGATCGTCCTCTGACCCTTTCGGACCGGTCCCTTCGATTGCTCCCACTAGCCATCGCTCTCGCTCCGACGCCACCCGTCTGTCGAACATCGATCAACGGGCCTTTGATGAGCTCCGAGCTGCTGGCCGCGGTACCCGATCCGCAAAGAAGTAATCATACGTGGTGGATTTTTCTAGACCTGTACTTCTTGCTTGAGAAGTGCTGATCTATCAGCACGGTAACGTCTTGAACTTCTCTCTGGTTTTTTTTTTTCCTGGTCTTGCCCCATTCCCAGGTTTCTCTGCGTGGATGTATTCAACAAACCCTTGTCTCCCCAGCACTTGCGCCATTTGCTTTTTTTTTGCTTTTTTTTGTTTAACTTTTACTTCCAGCGAGATCAACCATCCACGGCTGCTGCCTTCGGGATGTGCTTGGCCGGTTTGCAAGATCTCGTTGTGAACGAAACTCATTTGAGTTTCAATATTTTCTAGCTCCAATGTCACTTCTTAATTAGTTGACTAGCTAGCTTGCTGCGTTTAATCTTTGCGTTTGCCTTTACTTCCTGCGTTCTTGTTATCTTTCCTTCTAGTAGTTATTCTTTGAGCGGGCATTGTTTTGGAGACTTTGTAGGCTATGCGGCAACATGCATGCTGTAAAACACCAGTGTAAGGCTGATCAAGATTAGGTAGCAGGACACTAACGGAAGGTTGATCAGGTGCTCCTTCATCACCTCTTTGATGCCGGGAGGCTGTCGAAGTAGGCCAGCCCTTCACTGGTTTTAGTTTCCTGCTCGCTGTCTGTTTCTGAGCGCATCATCGTCTCCTCTCGGGTTCATTATACTCCCGATCTTCCTCCTTGCATCCTGATGATGGGACTATATATTTTACAAACCACAAAAATCCGGTCACTCATCGTGGTCAGTCCTGACGACACGCCTACGAATACTTGCCGGCAAATCTCAAAGGATATATCTGTGACCAAGCTTTGGGGGAGCAGAGCTCAGCTGCTACCAGCAGAGTTCTCATTATCAGGACAGCGAACAACCGACTCTTGATAAGAGACCAAACGAGCGCGGGCTACAATGTGATTAAAGAGACAGAAGAGACACGGCTGAAAAGAGGGGACTAGGCATAATGAAGTATGATTACTGCTCATTCAAGGGCCTAGGTCGGGACTAGCTAAGTTGTTGGGGGAGTTGTATTGAATTATTAGTGACCCGGAGGCACGGCTAACACTTCCCGTCGCAAGACGTAACAGCCTCTTTCAAATTGACGAGATGTACCAAAATTCTCATGATAAAAGCGTGCCACACCGAGTGCAAGGTCTTCGTCTGTTTCGGGCGCCATGCCATCACAATATACAATGCAAGAACGACCACCCTACTAGAGATGGTCAGCCCAAAACGATCATTGAGGTATGAACATTTACTCATTGTTTGGACCAAAGAGTGAAGCCGTATGAAATTTGACATTCTTCGGGTTTCAACACCTGATACAGTTGATGGATCTGAGGGCGGGGAGAAAAAAAAATCCCCCCACGTAATGGCGCCAGTACTAAAAGCGGAGCCGTTTGTTACAGCAGCCGGTTTTTAAGGCATGCGGGCCCTTTTGTTTGGTTTGGAATCGATTTATCACTTTTACCTTCGTCGACAACTATTTTGCTTATTTTCTGCTTTTCTTGACGTCCAAATAAATCATCGGAAGTTTGAAACTCTCCGACGCATAGAAGAAGGGGCCTCTGCCAAGTTCGATTACTTTCATTCAATTTATCTAAGCATGCCTCAACGGTCGTGTCGGCCTGATCCTACGTCGCCTGGAGCGCCTACGGCGCCAAAGCGACGCGCTTCAGCCAGGCTGTCCGCTGGCGAACCAGGGGTCAAACGGGTCAAGTCAAACGTTGAGCTGTCCCTTCACCAGGCAAAGTCCACGGCCAGCAAAAGCAAGTACTTCGAGCCCGAAGACTCGGACGAGCCTGACACGGACTCCGATGCCTCTGTGGGGGAATCCTCTGGCTCTGTGTACGAGGAACCAAAGGAGGAATCCCCGGCCGACGAAGTGGAGCCGGAAGAATTCTCCGACACCGACGAGGACGCTAAGAAGAAATTCAGCGCGAGGGGGAAGCAACGACAAAGCGCTAGCAGCGGAAACGACAGCATCAAAGGCAAAGAGCTCTGGCGCGAAGGCGTTAGAGCGGGTCTGGAGCCCGGGCAAGAAGTTATCATCGCTAAGCCCAAGGCCCGAGACGCGGGGAAAACCCCGTACCAGGATGAGACGCTGCATCCCAATACCAGACTGTTTTTGATCGATCTGGCTGGTAATAATGACCGCCAATGGCTAAAAGGTGAGGTCGCACACACACCCCGGTTATCAAGTTGCTGGCTGATTTGCGTAGCGCATGATGCGGATTATCGCGCGGCAAAGAAGGACTTCGAGACATTCGTGGGTTCCCTCACACCGAAGATTGTAGAGGTAGACACTACAATTCCCGAACTTCCTGTGAAGGACCTGGTAGGCTTGAGAATATTCCTGTCTTCCGTCTTGTCCCCAGCGCTCACGAAAGTTTGCTCCAGGTAATTCGCATTCACAGGGATTTGCGCTTCAGCAAGAATCCACTTCCGTACAAGGTAGGCGACCCCCCCCTCCCCCCCCCCCCCTTTTGGATCCCTTTTGCTGTGCCTGGCGTGTATGTGTATATGCAGCGGGTGTGCGTGTGGTGCT